AGTCACTTTAAGATGTTTTTCTTGTTCGTGTTTTTGTTTTTTTGTTTGTTGTGGTTGCACCCGATTCAAGAGCCGAATGGCTCACAGGGCTATACCAAAATAAATGGAACTATGGAACAACACGACTAATAAAGACACCGCTAGGCGAGCTGATAGCGGTGAAGGTAGCCAAATATGTCGCCGACAGCTGAGAACTTTGCTCCTCGGCTGCCAGGGGGTTTAAAGTCCCGCGCAGAGATACGGAGGCGCGGACAACGTCTCTGGCAGGAGAAGGCAGCGGGGCCTTGAGAGGGAAGGAGGGCAGCATAAAAGGGGCATTTGTGATCATGGCGAGCCTGTGGGGGCTCCTCCTCGCTCTGGTCGTGGGCCACGCGGTCGCCTTTTCGGTGAGACGCGTCTTGAACTCGCGTGTCTGTCGTGTGTCGCGACGTCGGCCAAGACCGTCGGCAGCGGGGGGGCAGTGACGGGACAACATCGCGGGGTGGACATGTGCACGCCACCAGTGGCTGCTGTGGTGGTGTGTGCGGTAATGTCCACACATGCACACATATATAGGATTGCTGTATAGGGTACAATTATATCGGATATCTCGGTTTAACACGGATAGGCGTACATTGTACCATAGTTGTAGTGCCTAACGCCGGTAATTTCCTTCCCGCTCCGTGTCAGCCTCGGCAGCATTCCGACAAATGTCGAGTGAGGGGAATGAAGGTCAGGGATTTGTGTGTGTGGTGATGGCAAAGTCGGGAGCTTCACATGAGGGGTTGTGCTAAACAACGGTGAGTGCTGAGGTGAAACAGTGCTGAAGTAAAACAGAGCTGAGGTAAAACAGAGCTGAGGTAAAACAGAGCTGAGGTAAAACAGAGATGAATGCATTCGTTCAACGGTTAATCAAATACCACAGCAAGAGAACACCCCTGTCGTGTTACACATGTACGCATTGCACGTATCTGGTGTCTGTGTTCGTTTGCTAAGCATTTGAGACATGGTGACCTGTCTGAACTAGAACTATTATTTTGATTTAAAGCTTTCGTGACTGCAGGGATTCATATTCTTGGTTATTTCGGTAAGGTCACGTTGAAGGCAGATCACTGTTATAATTCAGTAGGCTCACATGCATGCCATCTGGCTACCATGAGAGATTCGTTCATGAGGCTATCCACATATACAAACACAGAGACAATTTCAACCGAGAAGATGGATTCTGGCTTAGCAATCATTGGAAGGATTTGATAAACCATTTCGGGTCTTAATTGATTGATCACGCTTAAGGTGGCTTTCAGACCGCATCCATTATTTTTTGTCTCCCCCCTCCTTTTTTCCGAACATAGATGGACTCGTCCATCTGAACAAACTGTCAAATCGCTCTCCGTGGTGCTAACGTTAAAAATAAATAAATACAAACCGCCACTTTCAAATGTTCTTGCCGTTGGTTTTCACACCTGATGATGATTGCTTGTGTTGCAGTCGAAACGTCGTGATAATTGTATTGTTTGATATTTTTATTATTTTATTGTTTCCCTTCTACGTGATTTTACCGAAAGAACCAAGAATATAGAACTAGAATGTTTATACATACTGGAGGAATCCGATGATCTATGAAGCTCTTTTTTTACAGATGTCCAGTACGGGCGGGTCAGAAAGTTACAACAAAAAACGATACTAAATACGATAGCAGTGCAAAGTATAGGAAATGTATGCAATTCACTAACAAAGTTTTATTTTTCCAGGTAAGGCCCACTGAGTTATATTAGCTTCCCTTTTCAGAAGCGACCTGGCCGCAAATGATAGCTCTACGAAGTGGTAACTCGTCACATGGAGATCTTTCGTGGCCAAATCATCTCAATGTTACATGGTGGGTTGGTCGGCAAGGTCCGTTATGTCGTGTAGTGAGCTAACCACTGCTCCACCGCTCCTCGAACGCGTGTTAATGGAGAGTGATAATGCTTAAGGATGGAACGCCGCGTTGGCTAGGAGATGTTAACTACCTCGCCTGGTATACAGGAGGAGGTCGTGGGTTCGATCCCGACCCTGATGCCTGCTGCTGTATTTTTGGAGTTTGCGGCGTCTCTCTCCCCGTGGTCGTGTGGATTTTTCTTCGGGTCTTGCAGGTTTTCCCCTCCGCATTTAGAAACGTGATACGCCACTTCGTTGAGCTGTCATTTGTGGCCTGGTCGCTTCTGAAAACGAGCTATATAGCTCAGTGAGCCTAATCTGTTAAAATATTTTATTTTGTATTGTTTCACTGTGGAATAATAATTAACACGTTGCGTCGATTTATTTTCCAGGTGAAACCGGATGGACAAATAGGTACCGTTACATTATTTTCACTCTTCATGTTTTTTTTTAAATTTACAAATAATGCACCGTCATGCAATGTCTGATGGGCAAGGATTTGGACAGAGCAGCTATAAAAATCAGCGACTCGCTTCTGAGTACGCGTGCATGCAGAGGGGACATGCTGGGAATGTCATCGCAAGAGAGGGCCAGCAACTTGCGAAGTTGGTAATATAATGTGGCAGAAAGGTAATAAGGGATGTAATCTGGGAGATGAGGTTGCCATGGGTGGGAGCACGTGGTGGAGAAGGGCAGGTCACCGTGACGGGCAGTGCCACTCAGAGAGGGCAGTGACCAAGTGCAAGACCTAAGGCCAGACGGAGGTGGTGTTGACAGTGCCGGATTAAGTTAGTGCGGGGGCCTGTTGCAGATGTTATAAAGGGGCCCTACGTTTAAAGATTAAAACACATTTTTTTTACTTGCATAGTAAAGTACTTGTTTTTATTTATTTGCTATACAGACAGATAATACGACAAAGCGCTAACCTTAAACACCCGGCCGTTCATAAAAGTTGAAGGCGCTATAGTACTATAGTAATAGAGCAATCACAGAATCACTGAACAGGAATTGATAGCTTGAAAGCATTTTGCGCGGGGCCCTTGAAAGTGCGGGGCCCGTAGCTACTACTACATATGTAGCTACCACATATGTAGCTACCACATATGTAGCTGCTTGTGCTACTAGGATAATCCGGCACTGGATGTTGATGCAACTGTGGATGACGGGTGGCAACTTTACAACAACGGGCAGAAGGTGAAGGAAGCGATGGCACCCAGTTTCCGGTGACAATATTCAGGGATTGCACTGCGGCATCGCTGCAGTGTTGTGATGTTAAATCAATGGGAGGGAGGGGTCTTGGAGCCGAAAAGTCACCGGAGCGCGCCTGGGTCTGACCAGGAAGTTTAAAAGTTTTTGTTTTCGTGAACGATTGTCCTGTCCCACAGAGGAGGACCTTGGTGATGTCATCGACATCCCTCAGATCAACCGCGGTGAGGCATCGACAGACACGTCAACACACAGTCTACACCCGTGTAGCCTTAATAGACTGTTGGGGCAAGTGCTGTTAGGAAGCACCTATGAAGGCCGGCACGGCACGCAAGGGGGTGGGTGGCCTACACCACGCCCGGCCGCCTTTGTCTCCCCAGTGGTGATGTTTACACACCACAACAAGTACTAATTTGAGGCTGAGTCGACCTAGGAGAGGCCCAGGACCGGTTCAGATACACCTCACTGATGTTGGCCGTGAGTGGGAATCGAACCCGGGTCTTCAGGTTCGCAGCACAGCGCGCTAACCACTGCACTACCGCTCCCCACTAGACACACACAGACACGTCAACACATAAACACACACACAGACGCATAGACACACACAGACATGGAAATGCACAGTCAACACGTAGACACATACGCACAGACACGTGAACACATAGACATGGCAACACAGCCAACATAAAGACAAACGCAGATACATCAAAGCATTGAGAGACAGACATATCTACATGCAGACACCTTAACACATAGACTCTGCTAAATAACATATGGTTTTAAGGTTTCTCTGGCTACAAGCGCCATTTAAGTTAACGTGAAGTAAATTTGAACATCATGAACGTTCACATCAGTCAGTCACGGCCGCTCAGTCTGGGCCGTCTCTGTAACGCGTATCGACACGTCCCTGTTACGAACCCTTGTTGTGTTTTGTTGCCAGATGTCATGCTTCGGTTGACTCAGGGCGATATCGTCGGGCCATCGTCCCCGGTAAGAAAAATATGAAAATAACTCATTAAATTTTATCATGATAAAAAAAACCTCACGCAACTCTACTCGATCTCACATCAGCCACCATCCGACTGCACCCCGCCCTGCCCCCCTCCCTCTCCAGCATGCACAGCAAACACAAATCACTTCGTTGATTTTCCCTTGCCATCAACCGCAAGTGCGCCACATCTGGCAGTGCGGCTTGTACGCATGGGTTGGCTACGTACGGTGTGAAAGAAGTTCTACATACACACCCCCGTGACTTGTATCCTCCACAGCGGTGGATGAACCGCAGCATTACTACGCGCCGTCTGCTCCACGGCGAACGTTAAACATCTGCCCCGTGTCTCGCTTCCCCCGGCTCATCGGTGCAGTGCCAATTGCCGTGACAGCCTCGAACGTCAACAACAACTCGCGTGCGACATGGGGCCTGCGCGTCGTAGGCAAAACTCGACATGATCGCGAGCGTCGGAGTCGATTGCATTCGACGCATCGGTGATATCATCACCTGCCTGATGATAACTGTTGTAATGTAACATTCGTTGCCATTTCATAGTTGTCGTGGCCATATGGTAGCGGATATCATTGAACTCAGGTCATCCTCGCAGCGGCTTTTGGCTGGCAATCCAACAAAGGTGGTTACTTGCAACGCGCGCTTTCAGATGCGCTTCTGTGGCCGTCTAGAATGCTCTTCCTTCCGAGATTAGGAAGTCACTGCAACTATTCACTTTGAAATCTAGACTGAAAACTCATTTCTATAGAACTGATCTTCGTGTTTAGTTTGGTTGTCCTTCCCTCGCACCTGCGATTGGACACGGTTGGCTACGTACGGTGCGAAAGAGGTTCACCATACAGACATGTCCACGAGATGACCGCTATCCTAGCCGCGCGAGTTCTGTTATCGTGTGGACAAGAGCGCTGCAGCTGTCTGTTGGGGTGAGTGTTTCTGCAGAAGGAGAGGAATTCCATCATTGGCGATGAATACATATGGCCCATGCCCATCCCATACATCCTCTCCGACAGCCTAGGTGAGGACCGTGTGATTGGAGGCCACGTGTTTGTGGATTAGTGTGTGTGGATTAGTGTGTGTGTAAGGCTGCTGCTGAGACTGGAGCGTGCCACTAAGAGGTGGGGCCTTACCATCAGCCCCACCAAAACTAAGCACCTGCCTGGGTATTTTGTACCATCGGACACTCCACCCCCACAACTCCCAATCGGTGATGGAGCAGTTGTGGAGAGAGTGGAGAGTTTCCCATACCTGGGCAGTGTGCTTATGACTGGCTCCAGTTTAACAGCAGAGGTCTCACTCCGAATCAGTCGAGCGGCAACATCTTTTCATCGGTTGCGTAACGCTGTGTGGAAGCTACCTGGTCTGTCGCTCCGCACTAAGCTTCAGGTCTTCTCGGCCACGGTCATTCCCTCCCTTCTCTACGCTTGCGAAACGTGGACCCCCCTAATGGAACATCTTCGCCGGTTAGAAACATTTAGGCTGGCCTGCCTACGATCCATCCTGGGTTTAACCAGACTGGATTGTGTGAAGAGCTCACAAATCCTTGAAAGATCTGGGCAGGGTCCCATCGGTGAGCTCCTCCGGCAGGCAAGGCTGCGATGGCTGGGTCATGTAGCCCGCATGCCCAGCCACCGCATGCCAAAACAGCTTTTGTTTGGCCGGATTGAGGGGGCTAAGCGGGCGCGGCACGGGCTAGAGAAGAGATGGAGTGATGTGGTACAGGAGAACGTGGAGCTGAGTGGACTTGCCGATGACTGGTACCAGCGGTGTCAAGATCGGCCTCTGTGGAGGAGGCTCGTGAAGGATGTTACTGGGCAGTTGGAGGCAGTCGCCTTCCAACAACAACGGAGGGCGGAGGAGCGACGCTCAGAACAACGAGCGGAGCGCCGGGTGGCTAAAGCACAGCAGGTTGGCACAGTAGGGGGCACAGGTGGTGCATCAGCCAGTCATCTCAGTCAGTCGACCCGTGGCACCTGGGTCTGCCCCGTGACCTCCTGCCAGCGGGCGTTCGACACTTCACGTGGCCTCAGGGTGCACATAGCCTGGCACAAGCGTCGTGGTGACGTCACCGCCACTTAGTGGCGAATGGCGGTTGTTGTGTAAGGCTATATATATGTGGGGGAGCGATAGTGTAGCGGTTAGCGCGCTGTGCTATGAACCTGGCGACCCGGGTTCGATTCCCGCTCACGGCCAACACCAGTGACGATTATCTGAACCGGTCCCGGGCCTCCCCTAGGTCGACTCGGCCTCAAATGAGTACCTGGTGCGGTGTGTAAATATCGCCACTAGGGAGACAAAGACGGTCGGGCGTGGTGCTGGCCACCCACCCCCTCGTGTACCGTTCCGGCCTCCATAGGTGCTCGCTAACAGCACTTGCCCCTACAGTCTGTTAAGGCTATACGGGGGATCTTTGTTTGTGTAAGGCTATATGGGAGGGGGGGCGGGGATCTTTGTGGTTTATTTGCCTTATTTGCCTTATTTGCCTTGTGGGGAGCGGTGGCGCAGCGGAGAGCGCGCTCCGCTACGAACCCGGCTACCCGAGTTCCGATCCCCGCTCACGGACAACACCAATGACGATTATTTTAACTGGTCCTGGGCCTCTGCTAGGTCGACTCAGCCTCAATTGAGTACCCGGTACGGTGTGTAGTAAACATACTCTTTGGTTCTATACGGTAAAGTCACGTAGGTAAAAAATAAAACAACAAAAATCACGACGTTTCGGCCACAACACAAGCGGCCTTCATCAGGTGAAGGGACCAGGCTGTCTCGAGGACAGCGCTGGAGTGAAACACAGCCACGCTCAGACCGCGGACCTTTAAGCTGTGTGTGCGAGGAAACAAGGTGCCTTGACAAAGGAATTAGCATGAAAAATAGCATTTAATTGGCCGACTTAGCATGATGAACGGTGTAGAGGTGGTGTACATGCGGGTGAACATGCCGGTTGGCGAGGGGAAACAAAGGCGGTCCGGGTGCGGTGCCGGCCACCCACCCCTTCGCGCAGTGCAGTGACGGCCTTCGTAGGTGCTCGCAAGCAGCACTTGCCCCAACATTCTGTTACAGACTGTGTGGGGAGTGGCGGCGCAGTGGTTCTCACACTGCGCTGAGAACCCAGCGAGCCGCTTTCGATTCCCGCTCACGGATGGAATTGGTCTTGCATCCCAATGCAGGTGTCATCTTTAGAGTAGTTTGGGGACTCGGGCTTTGCTGTGTGAAGCTTAGGACGTTACTATACTATGTATTTGTTGACGTTACTCAATAGCATTGCGAGAGACGGGTATTCTGATGTAACAGCGAGTGGCACACGGGGCCAAACCAACTGCAGCGAAGGCAATCGTCCGTTACACCTAGGAGTGGTTGCTACAGTTACCTCAATTTATATCATCTATGATCACTTCCTATTATCACGTTTTGTCCTTGTATTGAGATTATCAAGTCTTATCGTCAGTACTATAACGCACCGGAGTGATTTGCTTATTTGCTTGAGTGGTTTAAATTTTTCTTCGAAGGATAAACGATGTGAAGACTTGATGGGACAGTGTCATTGCGTGTCTTTATTGATGCATGCTTTGCTGAACCAGCCCAATGACCCCACCACGCCTCACCACTCACTCGTCCTAACCACTCACTCCTCCTCCTCACCACTCACTCCTCCTCACCACTCACTCCTCCTCCTCACTCACTCCTCACCACTCACTACTCCTCACCACTTACTCCTCCTCACCACTCACTCCTCCTCACCACTCACTCCTCCTCACCACTCACTCCTCCTCCTTACTCACTCCTCCTCACCACTCACTCCTACTCACCACTCACTCCTACTCACCACTCACTCCTCCTCACCACTCACTCCTCCTCACCACTCACTCCTACTCACCACTCACTCCTCCTCACCACTCACTCCTCCTTCTCACGACTCACTCCTCCTCACCACTCACTCCTCCTCACCACTCCTTCTCCTCACCACTCCTCCTCACCACCACTCACTCCTCCTCACCACTCACTCTTCCTTCTCCTCACCACTCACTGCTCCTCACCACTCCTCACCACTCACTCCTCCTCACCACTCACTCCTCCTCACCACTCACTCCTCCTCACCACTCCTTCCTTCTCCTCACCACTCACTCCTGCTTACCACTCACTCCTCCTCACCACTCACTCCTCCTCACCACTCCTCACCACTCACTCCTCCTCACCACTCACTCCTCCTCAGCACTCACTCCTCCAGCTTCTCTGATGAGAAACAATAAAAAAAAATTTAAGTTATGGCCCAGGCGCGTCATAGACAGGGCGCCATCGCGACCCCTCACGGAACAGCGGAAAGATCATGGCTTGGTCATGATGATGATTGACCGCATTGTGGTGTAACTCCTATATATATTTAAGACCACATAATGTCTATGCAGTGGCGTCGCTATATATTGATCTTTTTGCGGCCTGTCAGAAACTCACTTTGTGTTTTTTTTTTCTGTCTGGGCAACAAAGTTTAAACTCTTGCGGGACAGCCCCAGCAAACGCGACCTTTACCCCTACGGCTTACTGTGAACATCTTCATCCAACTACCCCTTCTCTCCCTCCCCGAACCCCCATTCATAACCCTTCCTTCAACAAACACTTCATCACCTCTCCATCTCGCCTCCCCCCATCCCCCACCCCTCCGCGCCTCCCCCGGGATGTTCCACTGTGACCCAGACCTGAACGCCAAGGGCGTCATCCTGCAGGCCTTCGAGCAGTTCCGACTCAAGTCGTGCCTCGACTTCAGACCTTACGCGGGCGAGCGCGACTTCATCCGCTTCCAGAAGCTCGGCGGGTGCGTGCGTCCGCGGCGCACGGCTCGCCTCACCGACACAAGCTCCATCGAACCAGACGGCCAAAACCTTTATACCATAACCCCCAACGAGCCCTAGCAATTAAAATAACAGGAAAAGGGTTTTTTTTTTCGAATTCGGTATATATATTTTTTAAATCGATGTTTCAAGAGCCGCTATGCACATTGGTGAATACGAGACGTCGTTCCTTAATAAATAACGTCACGAAGCAGCCCTTAAAGAGCCGCATGCTGGTCCAGAGCCATAGGTTGCCAACTCCTGCCCATGGTAAACTGGACTTCCATGGTCAGGGGTCGGCAACCAAAATACAAAAAAACACCTCAATATTCCAAGAGCCGCAATGTTAATCCTTAAAGAGACGCAGGTTGCCGACCCCCTGCCCCAGCCTAACCCTAACCCCTAGCTCAAGTCCTACGCCTCGTCCTAAGCCTCTGACCTGAACAACTAGTCCTAACGCTAACCCCTAGCTCAAGTCCTACGCCTCGTCCTAAGCCTCTGACCTGAACAACTAGTTCTAACGCTAACCCCTAGCTCAAGCCCTACGCCTCGTCCTAAGCCTCTGACCTGAACAACTAGTCCTAACGCTAACCCCAGCTCAAGCCCTAACAGCAGCAAACACTAACCCAAGCGCTAAGCCAGACCTCGATCGTGTCCTAACCTCTACAGTACACTTACACCCGCACCTCCGATTGGCACGGTTGGCTACGTACGGTGCAAAAGAAGTTCAACATAATACTTACATGCAGAACTCTGACATGCCTCGAAACTCAAAACTAGCCCCCTAATCTCAGTCCTAACCACACCTCAAAACCCAATCGGCTGTTAATAAAGGGATGGCACATCATGATCCCCACACCCCCTTCTTATCCCACCTGTTCCAAATTGTGAGGGCACCCCCTGGGCTCACAACCCCCACCCCCCCTCCCCCTTTGTTTTGTATGATCCCACACCCGAGCCTCCCTCCCGACATAGACGTTCATGTCGAGTGTTTCACCACCAGAGACAATGAACCTTGGCCCAGGCCAATCCAGACGATGCGATAACAGACGGCAGAGATATCTCCTCGTCCCCTGGCTGTGATAAGGCACTGTACGAAGCTCGCTCGCTCGCACGCACGCGTAACCACGCACTACTACTAATTGTCGAGTCAAGCCACTGCTGGATGAAAACCTCCGCACGGAGCGTCGGTCAATGGGGGTTGTTTGACCACACTTCACCACGCTGCTCAGATTGGTGAAAGGGGATGTCGAAGAGCCAGTTGGGATATGAGTCGCCACTCATGTCGTCTTCGCTGAGAATCAAACTGAGGTCACTGGGTTCACCGGGCAGTGCACCAACCACTGCGCCACCACTCTACCCCTGGCTTGTACCTATTAATTAGCACGGTTGGCTACATGCGGTGCGGAAGAAGTTCAAAATACATTCATGCAGCTAGGAGGGGACCATTGTCAAGCATTTCATGATTCGATCCCACCTTGATTCGATGAGGTGGTCATGATGGAAACATGACCCCTCTAATCGTGATAATTCAACAAATCGGTTGGAGGGAAATGAATCGAAATACCGCTGGAATGGATACAGTAATGTGGCTGTATAATACATTCATGTAGAGAACGAACTTTGAACCTCGTGGTCTCAACGGCTCTGACCTTAGACAATTTGCGATAACAACACCAGTCCCCTGGTACCCAGAGTGCTGTGACCATCATGAACTCACCCCCTCCTCACCTTCTCATCTCTATACTCTCCTCCACGCACTCTCCTACCTCTCCACTCTCACCTCACTCTACTCCCTTCTATGCACTCACCTACCTCTCCCCTCGAATCTAACTCTACTCCCCTCTACTCGCTCTCCTACCTCTCACCTCTCCTCCACTCACTCTCCTACCTTTCCACTCTCACCTCACTCTACTCCCCTCCACTCACTCTCCTATCTCTTCCCTCTCACCTCACTCTACCCCCCTCCATACACTCTCCTACTTCTCCCCACTCATCTTACTCTGGGGGGGGGGGGGGAGGTGGGCACAGAAGAGCGGTTAGCCCCCAGCTGGTAAACAAAAATGCACTGTCAAGTGTCCACGTACGAGGTCAGGTGACGCGTTATCCCTGCGTCCCCCCGACATTGTACCGTGAAGGGGCACAGGGAAGCTAGGCCCTCATGCGTTCCCCTCGATTTAATTACTGGTCCTTGCCATTATTGTCGCTCGGATGGCATAGGCCCTGATGCAACAAGGCCCCTTGTCCAATTCCCCTCCCCACCATCACCCTCCACCCCTCTTTATATCCCGTTGCCTGGACTCCTCCGCCCCGTAGACCGTGGGTGCAGTCGCACCGCCTGCGCGCCCGACGATAGCCGCGCCGCTCATTGCCATCGCCGTGTCCCCGCGACAGGTGCTGGTCATCGGTGGGGAACATCCGCGGCGGACAGGAGCTGTCGATCGGTCAGAACTGCGACCAGAAGGCCGTGGTGGAGCACGAGATTCTCCACGCGGTGGGGTTCTGGCACGAGCAGTCGCGCTCCGACCGCGACGACTACGTCACCATCCACTGGGACGAGATCTTGCCCGGTGCGTGAGTGCCTCGTCGGACGGTGCGAGATTCCTCCGGCAGCAAATGCTGCTGCGATGCGAAGGCGGTCGGTTGGGGAGCAAACGCGCGCGTTTCCAAAATAAGCGTTGATGCGCTTGTGTGTGAACGCATTCCGAGACGTTGGACACAAATCAGTGTGCGTGTTTAGTTTACGGAGGGAGAGGCTCTCACATCACGGGCAGAGGGGAACAAGCAAATGAAGATCTTGAGCTTGTGACACAGCGATGACGGTAACACGACAAAACATCCAAATGTAGCAGAAACCATCGCGAAAAAAGAGACTCGAGTCTCGGCGAGCCTTGGGAATAAAAATAATAATATTCGAGATAGCCATCCTTTGTCCGTGTACAAGTGGCGAGAAACTTCGGTCCGTTTGACGCCAGAGGAAAGTTCGCATGCAACGTGAACCGTGCGCCGAGCACCTTTAACGCAGTTTGGCCCAGGGGTAACTCGTGCCCGCTCCGGGCTTTTGACCTTTTCGTTGACCCCGCCCCGCGTGCCTGCGTGCGCGCAAAACAGGAAAGGAGAACAACTTCGACAAGTACCCCGACGACGAGGTGGACAACCTCAACACGCCGTACGACTACGAGTCGGTGATGCACTACGCGCCGCTCTCGTTCAACAAGGAGAACGGCGTGCCCACCATCACCGCCAACATCCCCGAATTCGACAGCGTCATCGGCCAGCGCCTCGACTTCAGCGGCTACGACCTGCTCAAGCTGAACCGCCTCTACGGCTGCAGTGGGTTGTCGCTCGGCTTGCAAGTCACGACCCGGGCCGGAGATTAACGGCCCTTATTCGGTTCGCTGCTAGGCGATGGACTCCCCAGGGTCGTGGTGGGTGGGGGGCGTGTTGGCTTGAGTGTACTGCTTGAACCACGCTGCGTTGTGCAAGTTAACGAAGGGACGGGAGGGAGGGGGGGTGGCACTCGCCACCGATGATTGCAATGGTCCCGGGAATTCAACTAGAGGGTTTTGGGCCACAACGTCCGTGTGAACGATTCTTTTTCTTATATTTTGCATTTGACAAGAGGCTCTTAAAAGGCACGAACCGTAACAAGGAAGGGGAACGGTTGGGTGGGGGGTACATGAATTTTGCGGATCGAATTCCGAGCTCAGTGCTCCTGGGTTTCTTGGAAGCACTGGCGGAGCCAGTGAGGGGGGGGGGGTGACACTTGCCCCCTTAATGATCCGATCGAAATTAAGGATTTCTATCGGATCATTGGGGTTTATTAGTAATAAATCGGCATTTTGCGACCCCCACTGCCACTGTGAAGCATATTATTATGAGATGATAGGACAATAGTCTGAGTCCATAATTTGAAATAAGTAGTGGCAAAGCAGTTATAAGTGACTCACAGAATTGTGCGCAGTTGCGTATACAGTACACGACTTCCCTGAAGGCATTCACCTTCAGCGAGGGCGATGCCAATCACACAACACGGTTCGAATTCGACCCTCGATCGATGGCTGTGCCATCGCCGTACACGCGTCGAATAAAAAGCAAAGGACAAGTCCTTACTTACTAACAACTCCTAGAATTTGTAATTGCTGGAGGGGTTGCCCCCCACCCCTCCCCCCCACCTGAAAATCCTGGCTCCGCCATTGTTGGGAAGGGGAAAAGTTTGGGGCTCACTGCCCCACCACTCATGCAGTTAGGGACTACGAGCGGAAAGTGGTAGGTGTTCATATGGGGAAGGGAAGGTAATGGAAGCGGAACAAAAGTAGAGGGGAGAAAGGGGTGGGGTAGGGGGAGGTAGGGGAGGGGGAGAAGTGCGCCCTGGGGAGTGGGTACGTGAATCGGTTCAGGGCCCTCGCCTTCACCAACTGCCACTGAGCGGCATGGTGAAGTATGGCAGCACAGGGATGTGTGATTTACTGAAAGTGAAAAAAAAATCCCGCTTCCAAACTGCAAGCTTGTTTTAGTTTTGTTCTCCTTCAAGAGGGCCTTATCTGCTTAGGAGAGCAGGAAGAGTAATTGAATGCAGTGATTTGTTGCAACTGTTCCCTCCAGGCACATGTTAAGAGACGCTTGGACATTTGACTATCTTTCATCATCACACTTTTGGTTTATTTTAAAGCAGTCGTCATCATCATCATCATAGTTATATTACAATGGATGCATTGAAAGGCGTTTGTCATTCTGCTTTTAACTTGACAACCAAAGGTGGTGGAGGGGGGGGGTCTTAGAATCAACCCTCGTGTGCTCACGATGCGCCGGTTTATCATTATCCACGAGCACTTCCAATCCGTCATCGCTACCCGTTTACCCGCGTCTCCACCGCTGAAGCAGCAGCGGGGCTACGGGTTCCTCGGCGGGCGAAATTTCAAAGCTTCATCCTGCTGCCCTCATTCTCTGGTTGTTCGCCGCTCCTCGACCCCCCTCCTCTCTCCTGTCCCAGCCTCGACCACTACACTGCTTGACCAGTGCGACTTCGAGGAGATGAACATCTGCGGGATGATCCAAGGCCAGCAGGACACCGGCGACTGGGTGCACGTGCGGTCAGGGGGCCCCAACGGGAACGACCACACATTGGACGGGAAGTGTCCAGGTGAGACCTCTATATGACCCTGACCTCCCTGACCCTCGGCCTTTAACCCTGACCTCCTAAACCTGACATAACCCTGACTGACATCGTGACCAAAGATTATAGACTTAAGATCGAAATGCTCAACTCCTGACCCTGAATTGAACTCCTAACTCCTCACCTGTTGACGAACTCCTGACCCTGAACTAACCTTGACCATGAACTCCTGACCTCTGACCTCCTAACAGAGACCCTAAAAATGCTATGACCCTGGCCTAACCTTCACACTGACCCTTAACCTCGAACCTGGTCAAACACAGAATGTGACCATAACGGTGATGCTGACCTCCTCACCACAAACGGTATGACCCTGAACCTAATCTAGAGTTTAACCTGGATCCCAAATGTGGAACAACGCTCTAAACCTCTAACTATTAAACCATTTAAAACATTTTTTCTTATTTTACCAGGTAAGGCCAACTGAGCTAAATAGCGCTTTTTTAGAAGCGACCTGGCCACAAATGATAGCTCAATGAAGTGGCTTATCACGTGGGAATTTATAGCAGCCAAATGCTCTATGCGCATTTTCTAAATGTTGGGGGAAAAAACCAGAGGACCTGGAGAAAAATCCACGCAACCACGAGGAGAGAGACACCGCAAACTCCAACCATACAGCAGACGTCTGGGTCAGGATAGAACCCACGACCCTCCTTGCATACCAGGCCGGCCCCTCAACCTCCTAACACACCGCGACCTGTGACCCTGGCCCCGGCAGGCGAGGGCCGCTTCATGTTTGCGGACACGAGCGTGGACAAGAACGGGAGCTCGGCGCTTCTCGAGTCACGCGTGCACTACCCGCGCCGCAGCAGCCAGTGCCTGCAGTTCTCCTTCAAGATGAGCGGCAGCGACAAGGACGTCCTCGCAATCTGGGTCAAGCTGGACGACGGCGCCGGCGCCGTGCGCAAGATGGTGAAGGTCGGCACCGTGCAGGGTGAGCGAGCGACGGCCGGAGCCGGGGGTCCACAATGGCCGGGTCGGAGGCGGCCGAGCCGGCACAAACCCGAGGGGCTCGGTGAAACGGTCACGGATTCAGCGTCGCGATTCAATCTGAGAAACCAGTTCCTGTTTTGTTTGTACCGCCTCGTCTACGCTGCGGGTCTCGTCCGTTCCGTCTCTCCCCTGGGTAATCTCTGTCCTGTTGTCTCTCCTGTCTGTCTCGCACATATGAATGAGGAAATGGATGGATAATGAATGGTTCTTGTTGTTATATCGTATGTAGTTTGTATGTTTCTTTGTAGAGTAACTGGTTGTTGTATTTATAGAGCATGTCAATCCAATTTGAGATGTAATGATATGTCAAGCATAGTAAATATATTAAATTATGTCTCCCTATCTCCTCGTCTCCTATCCATCTCATATTCAACTCCCCGGTCTCACCTCCACCTCCTTGTCCCTTACCCACCTCCCTGTCTCCTATCCACCTCCCCCCGTCTATTTGCCGTGCGTCTTCAGCCTCGGTAATGAACCAGTGGGAGATGGCTCACCTCGTGCTGCCCGCCGCCGTCAAGTTCCGCTACGTCTTCCAGGCGGTGCGCGGCGCCCCCACCGCCTCCGCCGGCGGCATCTTGCTGGACGACGTGAGCCTCACCGAGCGGAACTGCCCGACGGGGGTCATGCGCATCCCCGACGCCGCCAACCTCATGGAGACGTCGGTGCCGGGAACCGGGATCAAGAGCCCGGCGTTCGTCAGCCCCGAGGGCTACGGCTTCGCCATCATCGTGTACCCGCACGAGCTCAGCTCGTCCAACGTGAGCCACCTTGGCGTGCGATTCCAGCTGCTGAGCACGCCTGACGACGACGTGCTTGAGTGGCCCGCCGCCAACCGCCAGGTCGTCATCACCATCGTCGACCAGAACAGCGACGTGCGGCTGTGCATGTCCAACGTACGGACGTTCCTCTCCGACGACACGCGGCTCGTCCAGAGTGAGTTTCGTCTGTCTCCTCGCCTTCCTCCCCACCCTTTCCCATCTGTCTATATCTACCTTCCTTCTTTTGCTATCACCCCCGTCTTACCCATCTCTCTCCTCCCTCTCTACCTGTCTACATGTCTGCATGCCCATATGTCTGTCTCTTTGTTTACTTGCCTGTCTGTCTGCTTGCCTTCTTGTCCACCTACTTTCCTGGCTGTCTGTCTGTCTCCCTGCCTATTTTTCTGTCTGTCAGTCTGCTTACTTACTTATGTCCCTGCCTGCCTGCCCGTCTTGCGGGGATGCACAGACACGGACAAGCTGTTCTGGGACCGTCCCTCCGTGACGGGCAGCTTCGATCCACAGTGCAACTGTTTCCGCGGGCCGCTGCTGGGCTGGCCCACGTTCATCTCGCACGAATACCTACACAAGAGGGACTTCCTCAAGGGCGGAGATCTCTACATCTTCGTCGAGTTTAACGGTGAGTGTCCCCCGTGCACGCACGCAGTGGTCCGCTCTGCACAAGATGAAATGGCCCACTGTGCATTTCATTTTGGGCTGAGCAGCCTCCTGACCCCCCAGAGATTCGATGAATTGTCATGATTCTTCTTGAAAAAAAAAGAGACTTCTGGTCTCAATTGACTCTTCCTTGGTTAGGTCACCTATAAGTCTATCTACTGTATATATGTACTTGTCTCCGAAAAGTGTACAAATAAGCATGCAGAGGTGCACGCTGGGAATTACACACAGAGAGAAAGAGGAACACGTGGATCAAAGAACACAAATTAGAGACATCGTATGCATGAGAAGACATCTTCATGAGAAACCCTTTCTTTACCCCTCCCAGCACAACACCGCAGTTGAACAACGTCTCTCTTGCTCCACAGATCTCACTCACCTCAACAAGACGGAGGTGCCGGTCGCACCCGGCAGCACCATCGCCACTGGCGACGACGTCGCCGTTGACGACGTCGCCAACATCGACGCTGCCGCCGAGGTCATCGCCCCGCGGGAGCCGCTCGCCCCGATCTTGGGAGACGGCGCCGTCCCGGCTCGCGGGGACGCCAGACGCGCGCCGATGGCGGAGAGGCTGGCGAGGTCACGGCGCCACGCCGACGACTCCGAGCAGGCGCAGCGGCTGAGCACCTGCGAGCCGAACCCGTGCCGCAACGGGGGCCTGTGCCTGGTGGAGGGCGGGCGCGCCAGCTGCAGGTGAAAGCGACCGAAAAGGAATATACAAGTAACCGAATGGCATGCATGCCGGTGCTGCGGTCACCTTGTACCACGCAGGGACAGCTGCTACCTAGGGGACGCCCTGGCCACGCTACAACGGGGCATTGAAATGGTTGAGATGAGATGGTGACGCAAGGTGCTACGAGTTGTCGAGGAATTTAAGCTTGCGCCACTGTGCGTGCAAATCCTTGTCCTTGACGCGACGGTTAAGGATGAGCCGAATCATCGATGTGAAATCACGATTCGCAGAGCGTGCCGAGAATCACCCGAAAGATTACAGCTACGAGAGGCACTCCATTAGCCACAATGGCGAAAACATTGTCGATGCTTGACTCGAACCGTGAATCGTGGCAACTGAATCACAAAGAGTACGTCGTGTGGCATGCGTTGTGTGCTGTCGTGTCAGCTGGCATGCCTCGCAAACACACACGGCTGCGCATTGGGCCACACGCCGTGTCATGTGTTGTGTATTGTATTGTCACGTGTCGCATTGTGTGTCACGTGTTATGTCATGCACTGTGTGTCTCACAAAGATCCCCCTATAGCCATACACTATTGCAGCAAGTGCTGTTAGCCAGCACCTGTTCACGGGTCAGCACGACATACGAGGGGGCGGTGTGGCCAGCAACACGCCTGGCCGCCTTTGTCTCCCCAGCGTTAATGTTCACACTTATTGTAGGCCAAGTCGATCCAGGAAAGGGCCAGGACCAGTTATTGCTATTGATGTTAGCCATGGCCAGGAATCCAACTCAGGTTTTACGGTTCTTAACGCAGCGTGCCAACTACTACACTTCTGCTCCCAACTGTGGATAAAAGACAAATATGCCCCGTATAGCCTTAACAGACTGTTGGGGCAAGAGCTGTTAACGAGCACCTATGAAGGCTGGCACGGCGCACGAGGTGGTGGGTGGCTAGCGCCACGCACGACCGCCTTTGTCTCTCATGTGAGTCGATCTAGGGGAGGCCCAGGACCGGTTTAGATAAATCATCGTCACCAGCACTAATCGAACCCGGGTCGCCGAGTTCCCGGCGCAGCGCACTAACCGCTACACTACAACTCCCCCCCCCCGCTCGCCCACTGTGGATCGCACGCACGCAGGTGCCCGTTGGGCCGCGCGCTCTGGTACTCGGGCGAGCTGTGCGAGACGCCGCGACTGGGCGGTGGGCTGATGGGTGTCGTCCTGGGCGGTGTGACCACCCTGCTCATCACCTCGGTGCTCGGGGCCACCTTCCTGCGCTCGATGAGGCGGCGGCGGCGGCGGCAGGCGGCGGCAATCTGACGCGAAAAAATGGGCCGGGGGGGGGTGGGGCGGCAGGCCGCGTGCACGAGGGAAAGAGAGAGAAGCCGAGGTGCAGAGAGAAAGGGATGAGAGGGGATGAGAGGGATGAGCGGGGAGGGAGGAGAGGCAGGGAGCAGGGAAGTACGGGAGCACGGAGGGAGGAGGGGGCGGACGCTGCAGGGAGAGGTTGAGGTAGTGGCAGTGAAAGGTGATATTTCTTAATTATGGTTTAGTTGATGTCAATTTTTTATGCGGCTCAAAATGCACAGATTTATACATGTCATTGTACAGTCGCTGAATATTACATCCTTTCTGCACAGTCTCGCTGTGCGTAGATTAGCGGTAGCGACGTCTTTTGTTTTATGGTCTACAATGAGTGCATTAAATACATTTCCTAAAATGCACATTGCTGCGTGTGATGATAAAAGCAACCAAGGGAGCTGGCAGTCCGACGGCACCACCGGCTCTGGCTGGCCAGAATCGCCACTGAAATGCATTACCCAGTACCTCCTGGGGTGAACAATTGGCCCATTTACACTCCCAAATCTCTGGGTTCTCCCTCCATGCACAACTGGAGGGCCTTTGGGCCATTCAGCACAGCAAATCACGTAACAATGTAGTGTTTTATCACTGTGGTCCACCGGCTTCGACGCTTCTGCATCAGTGTTTCCAGGAGCTGGTGGTTAAGCACATATTATGAAATGCTTCTCATCCAAGTTCGTTTCAGGGGAGACAATTTGGCCCATTGCCGATGGAGACGTTGGAGCATTGCAGTAAAATAATCGGAAAATAAACATTCACCAACACGTGAACCTTGTATGTTGAACTTACTTCACACCGCACAGAGCCAACCATGCTCATCGGACGCGCGGGGGGAAGGACAACAACCTAAACACAAAAACAGTTATGAAAAAATAGTATTCAATCTAGTTTTTAAATGAATAGTTGCAGTGACTTCCGAATATCGGAAGGAAGAGCATTCTAGACGGCCACAGAAGCGCATCTGAAAGCGCGCGTTGGATGGTTAGCCCAAAAGTTTGCACGATGGTTTATGCTCCAACAAGGTATTGTGGTTCATTTGTGGAAAGCAATTTGTAATGAGTGCGACCTTAAATTGTATTCGTTCACCAAACGGAAGCCAATGCAGCTCAGCAAGCACCAGACTGACACGGTTGGATTTTGCAAATAATTTTGTACAAGCCGCAGCCAGTGCCAGATTAAGCTAGTGCGGGGCCTATAGCGTATGTTACAAAGGGGCCCTAAAAAAACATTAACGCACAAATGTTTTACTTGCATTTGCTATACAGCCAGAAAATACGACAAATCGCTAACCTTAAACACCCAGTCGTTCATAAAAGTTAAAGGCGGTATAGTACTATAGTAATAGAGCAAGTGCAGAATTGCTGAACCGGAATTGATAGCTTGAAAGCATTGAGCACGGGGCCCTTGAAAGTGCGGGGCCCGTAGCTACTACTACATATGTAGCTGCTACGACATGTGTAGCTGCTACTACATGTGTAGCTGCTACTACATGTGTAGCTGCTACTACATGTGTAGCTGCTACTACATGTGTAGCTGCTACTACATGTGTAGCTGCTACTACATGTGTAGCTGCTACTACATGTGTAGCAGCTACTACATGTGTAGTAGTAGCTACTACACATGTAGTAGCTACTACTACACGTGTAGCTACTTTGCTACGAGGATAACCCGGCACCGACTGCAGCTTGCTGTTTTTGCCCTACATCCCGTAGAGTAGTGAGTTGCAATTGTTGATACTGTGCAACACGCCACGGTATTGGCTATGTCACCACTCAATAGTCGCCGAATGTGTCTTAGAGCCCTGATATAAAACTTGCAGAATTGCAGAAACAATATATTTTAAAATAAAATAGAAGCAGCAGTCCTCCACTATTGGCGATCATCGACTTAGACTATGTACATGAGATGACTGATAGATGCACCTTCTGTGCTGCCCACTCTGCCACCTTGATGTACGTCCCTCCTGGCGCTCTGCTCATTTTGAGCATCGCTCCACCACCCTTAATTGTTGTTGGAGGGTGAATGTGTAGTGAGTCCAACTGAGTCGCAGACGATGTCTTAGGGAGCAACACCTTTTATTAGACTATTAGCACAACATACTCCAGGCTATTAACACAACATACTCCAGGCTATTGACACAACATACTCCAGGCTATTGACACAACATACTCCAGGCTATTGACACAACATACTCCAGGCTATTAACACAACATACTCCAGGCTATTAACACAACATACTCCAGGCTATTGACACAACATACTCCAGGCTATTGACACAACATACTCCAGGCTATTGACACAACAAACTCCAGGCTATTAACACAACATACTCCAGGCTATTGACACAACAAACTCCAGGCTATTAACACAACAAACTCCAGGCTATTGACACAACAAACTCCAGGCTATTAACACAACATACTCCAGGCTATTAACACAACATACTCCAAGCTATTGACACAACATACTCCAGGCTATTAACACAACAAACTCTCGGGTGGTGACCACCCAACTAACCACGCTACGGCGGAACTAGACACGGTTCCACTATCCCGGTCTGGGCCACAAGCTGGGTCCCGGACCGCGTGGCTGGAGGCTTCTTCAAGCTTGACGTGGATCTCCTGCCTCTCCAACAGTAACAACCCCGAGCCCCTCACAGGGCCCCCCTTATATCGGGCCGGGCTGGGGCTGGCTCTGCCTCTCGCCCCGCCCACCTTCTCGATCTCTCTCGCCCTTGCCCGAAAGGCTCTCGAGAGTTCTTCTCGGACCATGTGACCACAAATTTGCCCCCTTCACCGGTGCCCCCCCTCCAGTATCATCTGGTCACATGTCCCCAGGTCAGCCAGAGTATCATGCCCCCAACCTAACCCGAGCTGGCTGACACTCCCTCGCTCTCTCAACGGGAGCCCGCACCGCACGCTGTGCGTGGTGCCACTGCGCTTAACCAGCGCTCACCAAAGTGCCCACTAGGGCTGGTACTACACCCCGTGTACACAACAGTAGACATCCCGCCGTGGCCTCGCAGGCCCAGCACCACAGTGACATTCCCAGTCACTACAAATGCATCAATTTGCATTATTTCTTAGATCAACGCAAATTACTGCATATGCTAATGGAACATGCTCATTTAATAAAATATTGTGAAATATTCACCATTTGAATTGGTTCTCGAATCGGATTGTGGCACCGAATCGTGACAATTGAATCACCAGCAGGGTGAAGTCGCACCCCAAGCAGAGAGGTGAAGTCCAGCCCCGACGGGGATTTGAACTCGTCACCTTCAGTGAACTTGAGTGTTCTACAATAGTTACACCCAGATGGACACTTCAAGAATAATTACAATACAATTACACTGCAGAGTTGTGTATAAGGTGTGCACTGCACTAAGAACATTCCCAGCGGTGGATATGAAACCATCACGTGCAGTTCTGCACAAGAAGCTTTATTGAAAACGATAAAATATTTCAAAAAGTGGTTTTAACCCAAATGTCTTCGATTGTACCAACACGATTCTTAATTTAACACGCTTAGGTAAAGTACCCTTAGGTAAAGTAATCTTAGCTTCGAATAAATAAGGACACTCGTCTATGCACTGCACGTAAAGAGTGCGTCTGCAAACATTTCAGTGGTGGCATGCACTCACTTTTCAAGTGAAATAATACCCCTTCATAGAAACACAAAAACTCACCACACGTGTGATAAACACTTGCCTCATCACGGAAGGAAATATACAGTGTGGCCCATAATTACATTTGGACAATGGCACGGTGGTTGGTCTACTGGACTATTAACCTGGTGACCAAAGTTCGATTCCCAGCGATGGCTAACACCAGTGGTGAGCGAAATCTGAATCGGTCCTCGGTGCAGATGCTGACGGCAGAAATCCCGAAGGATCATTATGCACGTTAGCTTATTAGATGTATTCCAGTTATAAGGCAGTGTAAATGACAAATGTGGCGAGTTTATTTTTGTTAAAACGCGACGATATACCTGGATACAACTAAAAAGATGACCCATTGCGACCACCCATACATTTGAGTTTCCAAACTGGAATTTGTTCGCAAGTTGACTGGCAGGTACTGCACAGTGTGCCATTTCATAAATGGTTATCACGTGACTTAATTAGTCCAGTTGTCATGCATCCCCCTTGGTATTCTCACAAGAGATGCAGAAAGTCTTGACGCCGATTGCAGAGAGGTGGTCAGGTGGCTCAGTAGTGCTAAAACAAAAAGAGCAGAGACGCGTGACCACTTTAAACCGAGCCATCCCGGTTCATGGACCGGGCCAGTGGGTCGTGTCCAGATGGCCACGGCAGCCCGACACGGCCAAGCAAGCTGTGGCGGACTGCCAGTGGGCACACCAGCGGGATCGACGCAGAAAGATGCGACGCAGGACGCTTCAAACATTTCTAAATATATGACTGCCTGGGATAGTGCGAGACAATTCAAGCAGGCAAGCCATTGAAAGTTGATGAAAAAAAAGATTGCAATTGGGAAGAGGGGACAAGGGGGGGATGAAGGAGGGCAAGGGCCGCGGGAAGTGAGACCGTTCGGCCACAGCACTGGCACAAGAAGCGGAGCCTTGCTGGCACGGCCATGGAAACACAGGGTGAGATCCTGGGTTCATATTTCCGTAATTAAACCGGATTGTTAAGTCGCGAGAGTTGATGGTCTCATCATCGCTGCCACAAACCCCCCCCCCCCCATCATATTAAATGTTGTGTTTTACTTCATTGTTATCTATTGCATTCAGTCTCTCGGCGACATTTGGTTACGCTGCCATGCAATGATCACTCTTCATTCGAGCACATGAAAGATGTTTCCCGTAGTGTAGATAAACAGCTGCTAATACTAATAACAAGTGGATGCTTATCTGCACTCTGCTTGGCTCGTAAGTCGGGGACGCAGGCAATTTGAAAGTCACAATCCTTACGATTGCGAGTTGCAAGTGCTCACCACAGCGCCCCCTGGCTGGACGAGAACTTATAACAGTGTGGATGGTGCCAACCGCTCCACGCGCAAATTTCACACGCGACACAGAAACTTTCAACACAAGCGTCGCACGGCTGTCACACACATGCACACAGCACACGTGACGCACACGCGACGCACACGCGACGCACACGTGTGACACACGCATGGTGTGCGACTCAGAGGAGCGCGCAGGCCCGGAACATGAGCAGGCCGTGTTGGGGCCCCACGGTGAGCGGCACGCTCTCGCCGGCCGACACGAACGCCACGCTCCCTCGGCCCAGCGCAACGGCGCGACCCGCGGCCTGAGCCTGCGCCTCGCCCCGCACCGTCAGCACGATGCTCGCCGAGTCCAGCGCGCGCAGTGTGTACGAACACTCGCCAGCCGGAACCTGGCAGGGATGCGGGGGGGGGTAGCGGCAATGGAGGTCAAAAAAAGTATTTGAGTGGGACAAAATCCCTCCGGAGATGTGTCCAAACCTGGTGGCCAACTACAAGAAACGTCTGACCTCTGTGATTGCCAACAAGGGTTTTGCCACCAAGTACTAAGTCATGTTTTGCAGAGGGGTCAAATACTTATTTCCCTCATTAAAATGCAAATCAATTCATACAATTTTTGACATGCGTTTTTCTGGATTTTTTTGTTGTTATTCTCTCACTGTTCAAATAAACCTACCATTAAAATTATAGACTGATCATTTCTTTGTCAGTGGGCAAACGTACAAAATCAGCAGGGGATCAAGTACTTTTTTCCCTCACTGTATATGTGCTTTCTTGAGCAGGGGGACCTTGCGGGCACTGCAGGATTTCAATCCTTCACGGCGTAGTGTGTTACCAATTGTTTTCTGGGTGACTATGGTCCCAGCTGCCTTGAGATCATTGACAAGATCTTCCCGTGTAGTTCTGGGCTGATTCCTCACCGTTCTCATGACCATTGCTACTCCACAAGGTGAGATCTTGCATGGAGCCCCAGGCTGAGGGAGATTGACAGTTCTTTTGTGTTTCTTCCATTTGCGAATAATCGCACCAACTGCTGTCATCTTCTCACCAAGCTGCTTGGCAATGGTCTTGTAGCCCATTCCAGCCTTGTGTAGGTCTACAATCTTGTCCCTGACATCCTTGAAGAGCTCTTTGGTCTTGGCCATGGTGGAGAGTTTGGAATCTGATTGATTGATTGCTTCTGTGGAAAGATGCCTTTTATACAGGTAACAAGCTGAGATTAGGACCACTCCCTTAAAGAGTGTGCTCCTAATCTCAGCTCGTTACCTGTATAAAAGACACCTGAGAGCCAGAAATCTTTCTGATTGAGAGGGGGTCAAATACTTATTTCCCTCATTAAAATGCAAATCAATTTATAACATTTTTGACATGCGTTTATCTGGATTTTTTTGTTGTTATTTTGTCTCTCACTGTTCAAATAAACCTACCATTAAAGTTATAGACTGATCATTTGTCAGTGGGCAAACGTACAAAATCAGCAGGGGATCAAATACTTTTTTTCCCTCACTGTACGTACGTAACAATTACATTCATTTATTTAGCACCACTCGTGGCCGTAAGGTTGACAAATCAATGGCAAAACAACATATGCGAATCGAAAATAATCCCAGCTTCAAGGGCACAATCCCGAGCACGAATTGTGGTGGACGAATCGATTATTAAACCGCCGAATCCGTGCGAGGACAAGCACCTCGATACGGATGACCGTGAAGTCCGGCACGGGCGGGTCGTAAACGAGGGCGGCGCGGTCCGAGGGGTCAGGCCGCGCCGGGAACAGCTTGGAGGCGGCGGGCGCCGGCGCGTAGTGCAGCATGGCGCACAGCGTGTCCACGTCGATGAACTTGGGCGTGAGTCCCGCGCGAACCGTGTTGTCGGAGCACGCCATGCACTCGATGCAGTCTGCGTGGTCACGCGGGGGGCAGCCCCGGGCCAATGTTAAATGACAGACGCCAAAGGGGAAAAGTGTCTCTCTTTTCTTCGCTTTGGCAAAACAACAAGAACCCCGGTACAAGGTACAGACCGCAACAAGGGGGTATAAAAAAAAAAAACCTCCACGAACACTAAAGCCCCGAACTCAGCACTCCTGGGTCCAAAGATGGGCGAAGAAGATTGGTGGAGCATCGGTTTTTATATGGGGGGTGGGGGTAAGATAAGGGAAGAGGTACAAAGGTAGGGGAGGGGCCTACAGGCGCGCCAAGTGAACTTTCCCATCAAAGGTCCCGCGGGGCAACGATTAACTCCTGTCTATCCCCCAGAGGGGGGAGGGGTGAGCAAAGCGTCTCTTATAATAAACAATTAAGTACCACAGCAAGACGGATTTCAACTAGACGTTTACACAACACAACACAATTTGGATTTATATAGTGTTTACATCAGGGGCAGGGAACCTGTGGATTATTGAGAGACCAAGCTACTTAAACACACCTTTCGCAGGCAACACGTTGACACGCAAGCTTAGCGTTGTCCAATAATTACGTGAAAGTTAAAATGCGTTTCGACAGAGTATAAAGAAGCCTCTGTCGTGATAGATGTGATTAAGGGCGCTAAAATTAGAGCAGTATTGCCAGGTTGAAAAGTGTGGGCACGTAGGTTTCCCGACACACACTATGAACTTTCATACGTTGAAACGGTTTGGTTTCACGAACAAGCTCAACATACCACCATCTCCTGGCCACTTCACAGAGGCCCACCAGGTTTTGGAAGCTGTATAAATCAGCGTGATCCACCAACCCTTGACATCCAAGGAGTTGGATCACAGGGCATGCACCACCACGCCCAGCTCAACCAGGTGCAGAACTGTTTACCTTCAGCTTTCATCATCATTATCATCAGCAGCAGCTATCCTCTATCCACTGCTGGAATAAGGCCTCGCTGATTGGTTGCCAAGCTCTCTAACTGTTGCGTGACCCGGCGACCGCGATGACCCCGAGAGCCGCACCTCCGGACAGGTAGGCGTGAGGCTCGTTAGCGCCAAGGAACATTGCTTCTCCGGGCTGCAGCGTGATGTGGTTGAGGAAGTAGATGACAAAGCAGCCGACATCAGCGGGGAACTGGGAGTGCAGACGAAGGAGGAGGGGCCCGAGACTCGGTGAGGTGTCCTTGCCCTCGGCCGCTGTGGGCACACACACACACGTGAGCACATGCACACACACACACACACGTGCACACACACACACGTGAGCACGTGCACACGCACACGCGCAGGCGTAAGGCACGCACAGCAATCACCGCCAGCTGCTGCCAATTGGTGATCACATAACCACGATGCTTCTGCCAGGTGAGGTACACTCTTCTTCTTTCATATTGCAAGGTGAAACTGTGTGTCTTAGGTACACATAGGCACAAATACACATACACCAAGACATGAAGGCACTCACACACAGAGACATTATAACACAGATTAGCCAAAGTCCTGAGTTCCTGCCCAACTGAGTGTAGGCGAGCTGCTCATCCCTACTCAGTCTCTCAACAGGATGAGCGGTAAAATGTTTTTGTTTTTTACGCTTCATCTTCCTTTACGCCTCTTGACAATCGCTCAGCGCTCTCGAACGTACGTCGCCAATTGTGATTGCGATCACAACAGCGCTTGACCTATTTTATCTGCACCTTCTGCAGTGGCTGGAGCACGCGTGCGTGCGTGTGTGAGCGCACCCGTGCCCCCCGCGCCCGGCGCCATCTCCCGTACCGTCCTTGGAGACGCGCGCCACCAGGCCCCCGAGCTGCTCGGCGAACAGCCGCTTGTCGCACGTCATCACGGCGGCGAAACAGCGCTTCAGCGCCGCCGCCACCTTCGCGTCGTCTCCCACGCCGCCATGCAGCTCCGCGGCCGCCCCCTCTCCCACCACGGCCCGCAACTCGGGAACGTCTGCGAGAAGAGAAATGCCACGGCACGAGGCACCCTCGTCACCGGCCGATCGTGTAGTCACGGCCTATTGCTGAAGTTCCAAGATAAAAAGGAGCAAAAGCTTAAAATTGCGTAAAGAAGGCACGCTTGGTGAGGTGGTGCATGCTTGGAATTACAATGACAGACGGAAAGAGAAACAACATGGATTCGAGAACATATCCAGGTTAAAGGCATAGTTTTGCTATGACAGTACATCATGGCATATGTCATTCATGATTCATGCAACAGAGGCTAGCAAGGCACAATACCATACTACCGCCCACCCCAACCTCCTTTCTTGCCTGTACAGCCCACCACAGACAGCTCCACCAAAACCAGGATGAGCATTGTTCAACCAATTGCAGTCTGCCTCGAGATACAGAAATGGAGGGATTTTAGAGAAACGAGTCAGAGAAAATGAAAACATTACAAAAGTCCGCTCGCGAGTCAACTGCCCCATATGAAGCACTACAAACGATTTCATTTACACAATCGTTTTTGTACCTACAAAGTTAAAATCGCATCTCATCCATCTGTCCCCCTCCTCGTCGTTAATGATTTGCACACGGGAAGAGGCTCCGGTCAAGAGAGCGGAAAGTGAAGTGCGATACCCGGGCCAGCGGGATTTGGGAGTGCGGCACAAACCCGCAAGCGACCTTTGTAAAACGTTGCGCAGAGTTTCCGTGAATGCACACACCCCCGGCGCTCTCGGGAACAAGCCGCGTGCGTGTAAACCTCGGCGCTGCATGGGTGCCAAGTTACCGCACGTGCGTCAAAACTCTCAATTCCGCGACAGGATTTATTCTGGAATTCTATTCCTACCAGATGTAAACCAGATAGAAACGTCCGCTTCTGAGTGAAAGGGGGCCGTTGTGTGTTAACCACAAGTGGCCTCTGATGGACTGGGTGAAGGGTTTTTTTCAATTATACAAAAATGTGTTTTTTAATGTTTGCCGCCAGCTGTTTGGGAAGCAGCCAGCAGCGATGCATTAAAGGCGACGCTTAATGCCTCTTTATAGAGAGGTGCATTATCCGATGTTGGCAACAGTTAACATGAAATGCAACGTGATTATTTTGGTGCTGGTGCGTCAAAATTAGTTCATTCAGTGCAATGCCACCACCTCAAATAACCAGGGTTGGAAATGAGCAGCATCGACACTATTTAAGTGAAACAGAAGGATGATATGTGATCACGAGGTGTGATGACTTCCGACCGCTTGGGTCACGTCGTAACCTTATAGGTCGTTTTGTGCTTTCTTTATTGTCCACCTTAACGGAACAGAAGGCAACACGGCACCCTCAAAGCACAGACGAACACTACGGCTACGGCTGCATCCGGAAGCGTGTTTCTCAATCGCAGCACTGCAGGGATCACTCACTATGTAGGAAATCCAGGATTTCCTGTGTCGGGCGGAATCCGCACAAGCCCTCGAACGGTGTGAGGGCGATCGCCATCTCGGGCTTGTGGTTGGCATCTGGGTAATGCTGAGGAAACTTGGCGTGAAGCTCTTCGGCGTGAGACTGCCCGGTGGAGATAGGCAAGCATACATACACGGATCATAACAACAACATAACGAGGCACTAAATTATTAAGCAGGGTGGCTTTCATGCCAAGGTCAAGAGGAAATATTTCAGCCAGTGCCGATGATGCCACTCAACTTTGTTTTCAGAACCTTTCTTCTGTTCGAGATTCCCAAACTGTTGCAGTTGACGAACAACAAGGAATTTTCTTAGTCTTGTCATCGCCACCCTCTAGATTGTTAAACAGTCAACAAGTCCGTAAAGGACACATCTTACAGCCTCATCGCTTTCCCTATGTGGCTTTAAGTCTTCCCCAAGTTTGCAAAATTCTGGGTCCCACTCCAATGGCTGTTTCAATAACCTGCTCTACGCCACCTTGGACACTGATCCCACCCATCACTCTCACCTTCCTGCCAACATTTCCAACGCTGTCCTCTCATTTTATATTCGAAAATTTCCAGTTGCATCCCATCGCCATAAAATTTACAGCATCCTCAACAGATGCCTGCACTCAAGAGACCAAACAGTTATTTTTGCCGTTTACGAATTCCCTTCCCTTCCCTCGCACGCCCCATGCCTCACCTTGTTGGGGTGCGCCTGGATGGACAGCGCCATGTTGACGGACAGCACCTTGAAGAGGAAGGGCAACTGATCGCCGAAGCGATCCCTGACCTTCGATCCCAGTGAATCTGGGTGAGCTGCAATCCACTGTGATAGCGTGGGCGGCTGCACTCGATCATCCCGGATCTGTGCATCCCCCTTCGGGTGGGTGCCCATCCACAGCTGGCGGCGACGGCAGTGCCGGGGAGGGGAGTGGAGGAAGATTAAACAAGACAGCAGACAAGCTCGGTGCTTGACATTTCTCTCCTGATTTTGTATTGGCTCTTCTGGCCTTGAATGTATAAAATTAATCGTGAGAAATGAGCGTGAGATATGAAGAGGCCATGCCATATCCTCCCCCACCTTGTGTCCGCCGCACACATATATGAAGGGGCGACACTTACACGTCCCTATGGCGACACCGGCTATGCATGTATGTTGAACATCTTTCGCAAATGTACGTATCCAACCGTGCCAATCGAAGGTGCGGGAGCAAGACAACAAACTAAACACAAAAAGCAGCTCTAAAGAAATGAGTTTCAATCTAGATTTAAAACTGCATAGCTCCAGTGGCTTCCTAATATCGGAAAGAAGAGCGTTCCAAACGGCCGCAGAAGCGCATTGGAATGCGCGCCCCATACAGCGACCCTCTTTGCTTGATGTCTACGCCCAAAGAGACGCTGCCGGTGATTCCGGTGGCCCCTCACCTCGGCGTAGGGCTGCTCGGGCTCGACGCGCTGGGCGGTGTCGCTGGCCGCCACGAGCTGCGCCACCTCGCTCGCCAGGCCCAGCTTGCCCCAGGCGTACCGCTGCACGGCGCAGCGTAGCGGGAACACTGTGAGGTGAGACGGGGAGAGGTGAGGAAAAGCGAGAAGCAGGCTCGTTCAACCACAGCCATCTTAAACCCAGCAACGCAAAACGACATTCAACTAGAATCATGTTTTAACAAAGCTAAGGATAAACTTAGCTTGGTCTCGAAAATGTTACTTCACTTAAGCTCACAGTGAAGCTGAGATGAAACTCACAGACCTTTAACTTAAGCGACGCATAAACCTAAACTTGGATTAAACTCAATTAAATTGGAGCCAGTATTCAACTTGCAGCTTCCCCTTAAACTAAGCTCAAACCCAAGCCAAGATTCGTTGCAGTGTTCATTTCAATTATGTTACTAAATGTTGATTTGTAGCCGCAACTAAGCTTACGTTTTAAGAAGTATCTCATGCAGGCATCTAGAACTTGTACGCAAGGTATATGTTATGTCAATCATTATATTACAATGTAGACTGACGTTAACCATATGTAATGAGTACCACAATGTTTATTTGGCATTAACACAATATATAACGTCATAAGGTCCATATTTAAGTAAATATACGAAACCTGTTTCCAGTAGGTTAGGTTGATCCCGATTCTGACTTGTAATGTGTCATTATCATATTCACAGGGTTTGTATTGCATGAGCAGTACCCTATAATTTTTCACCCCTAGCATATCGCAAGTGTACCTTGAAAAGACCACATCTCATACAAGCCCCTAATCCGCTTCTAAAGAAGTGAAATCTTCCTCCGGTCATCGCGATCGGCCGTCATTTGACCATGAGGGCACCCATTATGCTGCCTGTTCATCCACCACCTCACAATCCCATTCATCGTTTTCATTTCGTGATCACGATTCGAATTCAGAATTATTTTTGCCATTGGATCATGTACCGCATTCACTAGAGCCTCTAGTGAATGCAGTAAAGGATCTAATTATATACATATTATATGAATGTAAAAACGTATTCTTAAGACACTATACGATGCAATAATCGTCAGAGTAATAACTGATTCATCGATAAAACAATGGAGCATCACAAAGTTTTTATACTTTTCCATCTTATGTTAGCAATCTGATTCCGAGAAGCTCATAATTACCGATGTAAAAAACACCCTTGAAGACTCCAAAGACCATGGGTCCAGTGTGTTAATTTAGGAAGGCTTAGGATAATTAAAACGCACGTGGGCTGGCAATGCTGGAAAATTCTGCGTTCATTTGAATGTTTCCGAGTGTCAAAGCGAGCCGCAATACGCAGGCTACAAGATACCACAATTATACCCTTTTATTCGGCAAAAAAAATATTCGACCTTCATCACTGCCAGTGGTCAAATCGCATTCATGCGGATGAATATTTATTATGAGATGTGCGGTGTCACCAGTGCCATTGAGGGCAGTGTCACTCCCGCATCAGATCGTGCAGTGTCAGTGCAGCACTGTGCAGGGAAAGTACTATGCTGGCGAGATGTTGACTACCTCACCTGGTATACAGGAGCTCGTGGGTTTGATCCCGACCCTGACGCTTGTATTTCTGGAGTTTGCATCTTCTTCCCGTGGTCGTGTGGATTTTCCTCCGGGTCCTCCGGTTTTTTCCTCCACATTTAGTAATGTGTGTTTAAGAATATTTGGCTGCTATACATTTACAGATAATAAGCCACTTCGTTGAGCTATCATCTGTGGCCAGGTTCTGCAAAAAGAGCTATAGAACTCAGTGGGCATTACCTGGTAAAATAAAAAAAAATAGTTTTAGTTTGAATAGAGTTCGCATGCGGTCGGGGTCCTGGTGGAGGGGAGCCATGAGGTGGCAAACTCACTTGGCGCGTGTATGTCATTATATTTTTCGGTTCTGTTTGGGAACATTCTCGCCACCCCTCAACCCCTAAAAATTCCACGTTCCTGATCGTTGCCCCTACGTGAGAAGGGTAGAGAGCCCAGCCACCGGTCCCGACCACGAGGGCACCTGGCCTCGGGTTTGATCGCTAGTGGAACGTCTGTACTCACCCCTTACCCCCATCGCTCAAGCTCTGTATTTGACTCTTGTTGAATAAAAAAACGATTATAAAAAAAAAACATGAATAATCATTGTTTGGTCTTGTCCATCTATTGCTGGACGAAGACCTCCCTTTACAAGGTTGACTACTTTGGTGTGGTATTGCCCACACCAGAACTTCATACTAGCCTTAATGTGTTCAACAACATAATTTGCACCACCAGACTAAGCAATACTCGTGTATGTGTACTGTTTAACACGTAGGCTTTCACGACCAATATTATCCATAATAAAGGTCATTTTGGTTAGGTCGCATAAATATGAACATGTCATTAACCCACCGACACCCAACACCCAATTAATAAGTTTTGTCACGTAAATAAAACGTGAAAATTAGTCACCACTTCAGCACACCAGTGTGTTGGAGCGTAAACCCACACTTACAATTTGAGTACGGTGTGCACTGTGTGCGCACTGTTTGTGTACTGCTTTAGCAGCTTCTGTTTGGCCTGATAGAGGGAACTAAACGGTTGCAGTACGGGCTGGAGAAGAGATGGCCTGATGTGGTATTGAAGGATGTGGAGCTAATCAGATTTGCCGATGACTGGTACCAACTTAACTATTTGTTGCACAGACGATCCCGTTGAGTGGTTATTGAGCAGCAAAAACTATATTTCTGAAGTACATTGTCCTTCAGGAATATAGTATTGCACAACCAATAAACGAGGTATTTAACAGTGTAAAAAAAACCCACCAATTTAAAGAAGTGAAAATATGACAGCAAGAGGTACCAAAAAAGGTTGAGTATAGGTGCAAGTATGCTCATGAAGGATGCTACTGGGCCGTGAGAGGCAGGTATCCTTCAATAACAGCGGAGGGGGGAAGAGCAGTGCTCACAAACGCAGCAAGGTGGTACTGTGGAGAGCGAAAGTGGTGCATCTGCCAGTCATTTCAGTCAACTCATAAGCCCTGGGTCTGTCCTGTGACCTCCTGCCAGCAAGCCTTCAACGCTTGACATGGCCTCAAGGTGCACCTAGCCTGGCACTGCACACCTACGCCCCAGCCGCATTTGTATAAGTCCTGGATTTCCTGTATCTCCTATATTTCCCCTCTCCTTTTTGCAGCTCTCTTTGTCTTCTACAGCAATAGCTGCACACCAAAGCGTTATGCCGTTGGAATCCAACCCAGAGATGGTGAACTGCTGCCCCTGCTAGGGGTGTGGGGCCTGGTGGCGCGGAATCTGCTGGGGTTGGAGGGAAGCAGCGTGGTCGCAAGTCTCTCACCCTGTGCACGCTCTCGTCCTGCCTCTGTCCCGGGCCGTCCACCACTGCGGAGAAGATGGGGGGGCGGCCACCCGCGGGGACGTATACCATGCAACCCAGCCAGTGCAGACGCTGTGCGGCATTCTGGGAATCGTGCACGCGCTGGCCAACGTGCCCCACGCTGCGATGCATTTGGACAGTGATTTTCCCTTCAACACATTCCTTGAGGAAACGAAGTCGCTGAGCCGTCAGAAGCAAGGAGAATGGCTTCAGAGTGACGAGGCCATTCGTAAGGCTCACTTAACTTGTGGTAGTCAAGGCGAGTTTCAGGTGACGGCCGAGGGGTCAAGTGTGGATCTCCACTACGTGCCGCTGGTGTGCGTGGGAGGGGAAACTATGAGCTAGACGGGTGGAAGTCAGCCCCGGTGGACCATGGGCCTTTGAGCAAGAACTCCGTGCTGGAGGACACTGCCCGGGTCTGCCGTTCCCTTGTCTCCCGCACCACTGGTGATCTCCACTTCACTGCTCTTGTGCTGTGGGAGGAGAGCGCCGGCTGAAGACCCAGATCACAGAGCCTATAACCCAGAGTCCACAACCTACACTCTAAATTCCAGAATCCAGAGTATAAAGTCTGGATGCTAGATTCAGATACCTGAAGTCCAAATACCAAAACCCAGAGTCTGGAATATGAAGCCTAGTTTGGATTATGGATTCAGGAATCTCACGCCTAAATTTCAGAACCTGCAGTCTATGAAGAGTCCAGGTTATGGATTTAGGATCCTGGAGTCCTGATTTCAAAACCTGGTTTGAGAGTATGGATTACGGATTAAGGTCGGAGTCTCCCAGCCCTTGACTGACTGACATTGACCCTACCCTGACCCCTCAGCCCATGACGTTTAACCCTTGACTAGCGTCATAAACTTGGCCACTCGTTGCAGAGGTATACGATTCGATTCCGGTGGGCCACCCTGGTAAATACTGCGGTGTGTATTCACCGCAAAAACACACTTCCACAACTACGCAACGTCTACTTCACTCAGTGGACGTTACAGACCCCGTGACGTTATTAGCAAGAGCTAGGCCATTGTGTGCCGGCGTCACGACTACAAATGTCTTCAATGACACCGCAAATTCATCACTCAATGGCAGTGGCTTAACTACACGATCAGCTCAGGGGGTGTACGGAAATCGGTCAAGTGTGGCCCCCCAACACTTGATCTGTGCACTTTGCGGAAGCCAAACGTTGCTGCTCCACAATTAAATTAACATGTGGAACGTAAATGAAAGCATTTCCATAATTTGCTTTAATTTAAACCGCGTTTTAATTTGTTTAATGTTTACACTGTTGGAAACAAACCTCATGGTGTGTATACTCTTTGGTTCTATTGGGTAAAGTCACGTAGGTAAAAAATAAAATAACAAAAATCACGACGTTTCGTCTGGAGGACAGTCTCGTCCCTTCACCTGATGAAGGCCGCTTGTGTTGTGGCCGAAACGTCGTGATTGTTGTTATTTGATTTTTTACCTACGTGACTTTACCTAATAGAACCAAAGAGTATGGATCCTAGCAGTCACGAAAGCTTTAAATCTAGACCTCATGGTGAGTGTCAAGTTTTGGCCACCAGGGGGGGCCCAAGGCACCCCCCTGCCCCCTAGCTCGTGACGTTCCTGCCTCAATGGGGGACCTCACACACACCAACAACAACCATCGCCGCCCCCCTCATCTCCGTCCCTCCTACTGCGACACAACTTAGCAAGACGCTGCCGACAAAGATTCTTGAGGCTTTGCTTGGTAAACTAAGCGGGATGACGCATCACAAACCGTAAGCGCCCTGGTGACAGCCGCCACCACCAACTTCGTGGCGAACCGCAGCTGTTGTTGTACTGTACCGTATATGTGCAGTGTGTCGAGTTGCGCTTGGATGTGACGCAAGATAAATGCACATTGTACGTATGTACATTGTATTGTATACACACATACACGTGTGTGTATATATACACACGTGTGTGTGTGTGTGTGTTGACGGAAATGTAGCGGATAGCGCGCCGCGCTACGAACCCGGCGACCCGAGTTCGCTTCCCGCTCACGGCCAACACTCAGTGACGATTATCTGAACCGGTGCTGGGCCTCCCCTAGGTCTACTCAGCCTCAAATGAGTACCTGGTGCGGTGTGTAAACATCGCCACTAGGGAGACAAAGGCGGCCGGGCGTGGTGCTGGCCACCCATCACCTTCGTGTGCCGTGCCGGCCTTGATAGGTGCTCGCTAACAGCACTTGGCCCAACATTCTATACGGGGAGGGGAGGTTGAGGGGTGTCTTTGCCTTGTATATGCGTGTATTGATGTGCGCATGAACTACGTTTGTCACCCGTTAAAAGTATAAATTGCCTCGACAAAACAGATCCCGTAGCGGCCTAGGCAACCCCCCTCGTCGCCTAGATGCTCCTCCGGGTTTCCCTCGTCTCTTCCGGCCGAGCACTCCGATTGCACGGGTCAAGACTGAATTCGGTCAAAGCTGAACCACAAATGCAAACGGCGCGCAAATGACACGACTTGTGAGCTTGTGAACGATGACAAACATAATTATACTCGTAATAATAATTCAGTTATTTTATTGAATGCAAGAGATTCACCTTTAATGTCCTCCATCACGAAATCCCAGCGACTGCTCCACGGTACCGAGACGCCTCCTCCTTGACTTGCCGGCCCGTTCCACGTGACACGGCACCCCCCCCCCCCACCCCCGTTCCATTCCCCCCCCCCTCCCACCCCCTTCCATCCCCCCCCCTCCACCCCCGTTCCATCCCCCCCCCTCCCACCCCCGTTCCATCCCCCCCCCTCCCACCCCCGTTCCATTCCCCCCCCTCCCACCCCCGTTCCATCCCCCCCCCTCCCACCCCCGTTCCATCCCCCCCCCTCCCACCCCCGTTCCATCCCCCCCCCTCCCACCCCCGTTCCATCCCCCCCCCTCCCACCCCCGTTCCATCCCCCCCCTCCCACCCCCGTTCCATCCCCCCCCCCTCCCACCCCCGTTCCATCCCCCCCACCCCCGTTCCATCCCCCCCCTCCCACCCCCGTTCCATCCCCCCCCCTCCCACCCCCGTTCCATCCCCCCCCCTCCCACCCCCGTTCCATCCCCCCCCATCCCACCCCCGTTCCATCCCCCCCCTCCCACCCCCGTTCCATCCCCCCCCCCTCCCACCCCGTTCCATCCCCCCCCTCCCACCCCCGTTCCATCCCCCCCCCCTCCCACCCCCGTTCCATCCCCCCCCCTCCCACCCCCGTTCCATCCCCCCCCCCCCTCCCACCCCCGTTCCATCCCCCCCCCCCTCCCACCCCCGTTCCATCCCCCCCCCTCCCACCCCCGTTCCATCCCCCCCCTCCCACCCCCGTTCCATCCCCCCCCTCCCACCCCCGTTCCATCCCCCCCCCTCCCACCCCCGTTCCATCCCCCCTCGACCCCCTCACACTCCCCCCCTCTCCTCACACTCCCCCCTCCACCCCCCATCGACCCCCTCACACTCCCCCCTCCCTCCACTCCACTCCCCCCTCCACCCCCCCGTTCCATCCCCCCCCCCGTTCCATCCCCCCCCCATTCCCCCCACCGCCCCCTCACTCTCCCCCCCTCCACTCCCTCCACTCCACCCCCCCATTCCCCCCTCCACCCCCCCTTACACCCCCCACTCCCCTCCCCATCTTTCCCCAAGTAAAACATCTGAAATAAAATTTTGATTTAAAGCTTTCGTGACTGCAGTGATTCATATTTTATGTTCTTTCGGTAAATTAACGTAGAAGGGAAACAATAAAAAAAACATATTTTTATCACGTAGAAGGGAAACAATAAAATAATAAAAATATAAAACATATTTTTATTATTTTAAAATAATAAAAATATAAAACATATTTTTATTATTTTATTGTTTCCCTTCTACGTGACTTTACCGCAAGAACCAAGAATATCTGAAATTGACTCATGGGGAAACATAAAGATGCGTGCAGGAACTACATGACCAAAACAAAACCTTTCGGTTTTAATGTCATTTAATGTGGATGTGGTGCAATGTGTCCATGTACACAACGTGAACAACACTGCCGAACTGCGTGCGCAGAGCCAATCGAATTTGACAGCAGACACAACACCAAAACAGCTTACATACTCTCCGCAGCATGGCCACACTGCACTGACGGTCCCCAGTAAGGGGCCGTCCATAAATGACGTCACGCGATTTTTGACGATTTTTGACCCCCTCCCCCCATCGTCACACGGCGTCACAAAAAGTCAGACCCCCCCCCCCCTCAAATATGACGTCACAAAGCTCTGCCCCCCCCCCCCCAAAAAAAATAAAACATGCTTCAAATCGCTTTAAACTATTGTCATTTTAGTGCGTATTTAATGTGCCGCTGCACTCTGATGTTGTAGGAGAAAACATTTATTTAAAAGTCTATTTAATTAAGTAGAACGTGTTGTCTATATTTATTTAAAGTTGCGAATTTTGATGTGACGTCACAAATGTTTTACCCCGCCCCCCCTAGGTGCGTGACGTCATTTATGGACGTCCCCGAAGGGTGAAGGAAGTACAGTACTCGCTTGTCAGCTTGGACATGAGAGTTTACGTACGGTGCGCTAGAAGTTCAACACACGTACGCTGAGCCGGCATCATAGCTGACACATTATGTCCAAATCTGGGTGTCAGCTGCCTGCGATTAAACTGGGGCCTCAAGTATCGTGAGCTGATGTTCTCAGCCTGGAACATCAATCGCTGCACAAATAATCCACGACTTAATTGGGCAAATGTCCAGCTGGGAGAAGGAAGCAACGTAGAAAAAAAGTGCAGCATCCACGGTGTGGATAAAAGGTATTTTTTTTAAATGCCCTCGGAATCAGTTTTCTGATATCCCCTTATGTGGGTCCGTTATCGAGCACACTTCTAGATTTAAAGCTTTCGTGACTGCTAGGATCCATACTCTTTGGTTCTATTGGGTAAAGTCACGTAGGTGAAAATAAAATAACAAAAAATCACGACGTTTCGGCCACAACACAAGCGGCCTTCATCAGGTGAAGGGACGAGACTGTCTGGAGGACAGCGCTAGAAGTTCAACACCTGATGAAGGCCGCTTGTGTTGTGGCCGAAACGTGATTTTTTGTTATTTTATTTTCACCTACGTGACTTTACCCAATAGAACCAAAGAGTATCGAGCACACTGCCAGAGTTGCGGATGGACACTAAAGCTCGCGGATGGAACAATTGGAATAGAAATTCGAGAAGACGAAAACGATCTGAATGAACCTGCTGTCAACATACACAAGCGATACGTGTGCAGTGCCGAATTATCCTCGGCGCATAATTAGCAGCAAATGCTACGGGCCCCGCGCTTTCAAGGGCCCCGCGCTAAATATTTTCAAGCTATCAATTCCGGTTGAGTGATTCTGCACTTGCTCTATTACTATAGTACTATACTGCCTTAAACTTTATGAACTGATTGGGTGTTTAATGTTAGCGATTTGTGGTATTATCTGGCTGTATAGCAAATGAAAAAGTACAATTACTTTACTATGCAAGTAAAAAAAGTGTTTTAATCTTTGTGGTTTTTTTTAAATCCAGGGCCCCTTTATAACATTCTACAGGCCCCGCACCTAGCTTAATCCGGCGCTGTATGCGTGGCGTGATGTCTCTTTGGTGTTGTCACGTTTTGGGGGTATATTCTCAAAAAGCCTCGTCGCTGTGACCGCTTACATCTCAGCGTGTTTACATCTTGTTGTGCACAGTATTATTAATAGACATTGCTCAAGAGACACGTGGGCTGGATTCACTGGTAAAAACAAAGTGTCGACCTCAACTGCAATGTTACGGTGGTTCAAGAGTGCAGCCACGAAGGTTTATTTAACATCTCCCTACACTAGTGGTAACGCGACGTGTAGATTCCCAATACTCACGGAGTTATCAGCAGATATTTACTGAAAAATAGGCGACACATAACGCGCCTGTGAAAAACGGTGCACAAATCACAGCACACAAGTGGCCCAATGTGTACGAATAACATTTTTTATTAAAACAATCCCAATTATTTCTTATTTTTACTGCTTAATGGCAATCCAGTGTGTGATTATCGCTATTTGGCTCAACCAAAACAGCCGCATCTAGTTTGGCCTCTGCGGCCCGATCGCACGCTGGGAATAAGTGAGAACGAGGCGCCACTGAATGACGGCAGCTGGGCACGGTGACTTTCGCTCCGTAAATATTGCTACGCACTAACGGAAACAATGCATTCTGGGGAAGTTTAAAACAAACATAAAAACCCCGCAAGATACCAAGTTTATATCTGCACGAAAAAGAGATGTTCTGATATAGCTCGTGTCTTTATTTAAAAACCTCTTTGTCAGCTTAAGCTGACGCCGACGGAGAGAATGAGTTATAGATGTATGACCCCTTCATATAATCGAACCTACACAATATGTAAAGAAACAAGGGCGTTTGTATAATTTCAGAAGTGAAAGAACATTAATTGACAAATAGATTTTGCACCCACTTATGTGTGCTTAGGTGCTTGATGAGAAGGTTTTGAGTTGAATTCTCGATCGGTTATTCAATCAGCCCAGCATCCTATTCACGGCACGATAAAATAAGTATCACTTTGTGGCAAGTGAATTGTGGTCATCCCGTGTAGAGACTGGCCCCTGCCATGGGAATGTGGAATTTCCACCTCTGGCTATGGGCCACCTACAGAAGTGAACGCAATCAAATGCTCGTTTGAGCAGGAAGGAATTTAATTTTAACGAACAGTAGAACAACGTTCAGCTAAACAGCAAAGCATTTTCTGGGAAAAGGAAAATAATTCCCTTTAATAAATGTTTAAAAATTAAAATGAATCCACAGGAAGTGTATGCACTTCTGCATGCATCTCATTTGATGTCACCCCTACATCTTACACTGTATTCCCTCTCCACAAGCCATATGACGATTCACCCCTTCAACGATTCTATTAATTGCTATTATTCAGCTTCACGATTCAAATAAATAATCAATTACTCTGTCTCGTTTGCATCGTTGTCCGTATGTTTTTGCATGTAGCCTCTCATGTGTTCCATTTCCCTAAAGGCATGCGCTTAAACATATAATATGTATAAATGTAAATAGTCAATTTCTAGATGCACAATGCAATGCACTAATCCTGAGTACAAGAATTGAATGTAGTTCATTCATCAATTGCTAGTTGCCTCCTCTCCATCGCAATCACTAAAATTTTGACCTCCTTCCCCCTCATTTAACTTCTCCCATGATTGCTCATCAACAACAACAACCGCCATTCGCCACTTTCGCGGTGGCGAATTCACTACGACGCTTGTGCCAGGCTACGTGCACTTTGAGGCCGCATGAAGTGTCGAAGGCTCGCTGGCTGAACAGAAGGTCACGGGACAGGACCAGGTGCCGTGGGTTGACCGAGATGGCTTGGGTGACCCAAGGCGCCGATCCCCACTCTCTGCCTCTCACTCGGGGCGAGATGGGCGAGACGGCGAACACGGCTTCACTGCGATCAGTGCTTGCCAGGGTTGAGCCACGGGAAGGAGAACACGTGCCGGCTGGGAGCCCCCCCTGTGCTGGCATCGGCCAGATGCGGATCCAACGCAGCTTGAGGCTGGGGAAGTGGGAGACGGGGAGTTGGGGAGTGGGAGATTAATAGCGGCAAACACAAGTTGCAGTAGAAACACGGCGGTAGCTGGGTGGCTCATGGGCCAGGGACACTGAGTCAGCAATACCAAGATCCTGGAATTTCATCCGGGTTTAAGCTGCACTGATGAAACCCAGTACTCAAGAGGATGATAACGATGATGACAATGTGAGAATGGTGACGACAATAACACGATGATTGTGATGTGATGAGCTTTATACTGTGATGACAATGATTACGCCGTCAACAATCAGCGATAGCCCCCGACGGTGGTGATGCGTTGACGTACCTCCCCGTCTTCACGGGGGGCTCGCGTCCCTTCCCCCGTCACCCCCTTTACCCCGCTGGGCCCCGCCTGCACCCCGACTCCAACGGCGCCGGCGCCCTGCTCGACCGAGTCGTCCGCTTGCCCATCCTCCCCCTCCGTGTACACCACCTCCTCCACCACCACCTCCTCCTCCTCCTCCTCCTCGTCTCCCTTCTCACCTCCGCCTCCGCCACTCGCTGTGAGACGCACGGGGAAGCAGTTGACACTGGGGAGTTTGTCTCTGGGAAATAGAAATACACTGAAAGACAAGTAAAGCTTTGAGACAGCTGACACGATCGATGGCTAGCGGTGGAGACACATCCAGGATAAGCGGCAATAAAAATGCGATATAGCTGATACTGGAGACGTCCGACACTGAGAAACAGTGGACAGCATGAACAGCTGGCAACAGGAACACAGATCATTGTGACCAACGGCTGTGTGTTATATCCATCGCTGGATGAAGGCCTGGCAACATATTCACCCTCCACCGTGGTCTCGAGATGCCGTGAGTCCATTCCGCTCCTGCACAGACGCTTATTTGCGTCGTTCCATCTCTGGCAGTGCTCGCTCGTTCGGCTGCTGTTCCATCGCCACCAATTCTCGTCCATCGGCCGTCATAGCTTACGGCGAAGGGAATACGGCCGATGGACGGGAGAGGTGAGACCACCAGGTGTGCTACGGCGAGGGGGGGACGTGACCGTGCTCTACCCACTGCTCAGGAAGGTGATCCTCCTCAGCAGGGCCTCCTCCTGCTCGAAGCTGGCCATGAATCGGTCCATGTTCTCGAAGCCCGGCTCCATCTTCTGGATGTGGTTCGCCTGGGACGACTCGATGATCCTGCGTGGAGACACACGGCCGGCGTGCTTTCCGCGAGCGTCGAGCAATGGGCCAACCCTCCTACCCCTCGTCACGTCGTCTCACCATCAACAGCATCATCATCAGAATTATTGTTGGATCACCACTCGCGTCATCATGATTGACATTATTGTTTATTAATGACCGTTAGCTGTGCCGTGGTGTTGCTCTTTCATGTCTCCCTGCCCTAACCAGCCCAACACCACCCCCTACCCCGCCCCACCATTTCACCCTTTAAATTGCATTTAGACGCTATATAGTTGCATTTTTTTCGGAATTGTCACTTGTTGAGTGTGATCTCCATCGTTGTCATCACGCTCATTGTTACGTCATTGTCAATATCATCGGCATCTATGACATCACTATGATCATCACCAGCAACAGCAGCAGCGTTATAATCACATCACATTACATCATCATCACCATCGTGATTGTTATTATATTTGTAGTCTCATTATCATCATTTTAATTGTTATCATGACTATCCATTACCAGTATTATTATGGTCATAATCATCATTATGAATAACACTTAAGATGCACTTACTTTTGAATGAGTGGCTTGGCATTCTGATAAGAGAGAAAACACACACAAAATTTGAAGATTGATATTGATACAATAAATACTTGCAAAGGGTACCAGGAGGGATTAGAAAGGTACAACACAATGCTACTGATGAAAAGACGAACATAAATTAAGTAGTGCGGCCTGGAAGCGTATTATTAAATAATACACATTACATTTTGATTTAAAGAATTACTAATCTTCAACTCATTACTAATCATAACCAATGACTGATTACTAATCGATTATATAATTACAATACCCCCCCCCTCCGCCTCTAATCACTGCACCTGATATGAGTTAAGTGATGACGTCACCCTGCTGCTCTATATAAAACCGGGAGCAAGCGAGGGCTTTACCATTCTGGCGAATTGCCCGATGATGCTGGATGTATTTACCAGCGAAACGTCGTACTCAAACTGTAAATGTGGATTCACTCTTCAACACACCGGTGGGCTAAAGTAGTGAATCATTTGTCTTTTGTCAACATGACACTTTTTTTGCTGATTGGCCGTGTCGGGTGGTGGAGGGTTACGACACATTTATAAATAAACGCGATCTAACCCAAAAACCTTTATTATGAATAATATTGGTCGCGAAAGCCTACGTGTTAAACTGATAAATTAAGTAACGTCGAGGCGATATATTTACGCTGAGTCACACACATACCCGGAACACATAGTTCAGAGAACAAATTCGAGTTACAGAGATCATACTGCCTGCAAAGCAGGATAAGGGCACTTTGGGCAGCATGCACCACGGCTCTAAGGAATGAGGGCCGATGGCGGCAGTGAGAAGACATCGACCACGCAGATGAAGTGATGACGAGATCGGCTCATGTGCAGGACTGTGGCGGATTGTAGAGGTAGGTGAGTTTGTTATAAACTAAGCAATTTTTTTTTAATTTTGCCAGGTAAGGCCCACTGAGCTCTCTAGCTCTTTTTAAGGAGCGACCTGGACATAATGATAGCTCGACCATGTGCCTTTTCACGTGGAAATCTATATCAGTCAAATGCTCTCAACGCATGTTTCTAAATATGGAGATAAAAAAAAAACGGAGGACCCGGAGAAATATTCCCGAGACCACGGGGAGAGAGACGTGCAAACTCCAAATACATAGCAGGCGTCAGGGTCGGGATCGAACTCACGACCTCCTGCACAGCAGGCGAGGGAGTTAACATCTCGCCACCACGGCGACCCACGGTCATTTGTTACATCCGGTGACTGTGCAGGTCGGTGACGGCTTGTTGAGGCCTTCATCCCACAGCGGGTAGATCATGGCTGATGACCGTGGCCTCGCATGGTAGGCATGAGCCCTGTGGCGAAAGGAATGAAATTGGACCCCCCTCCCCCTTCCCCACCGTTTGCCTTATCCCCCCACTTCGTAGCCCGGCATGTGAGATTACTCGGTGCGGTTGGACGAGCCAGCACGCTCCACAGCGTCACAGCTGCTGGCTGATGATGGTGACGACGACGAAGATGTTGTTGTTGAAAGACTGAGAAGACGACGCCGCCGCCGCCGCTTACTCACCTGCAGGAAGAGTGCCATCTCGGGCTCCTCCATGGACTGCAGGGCGTTCTCCACGAGCTTGGAGGCCACTTCCAGGTGCTCGCCGTACTGCCGCATGTGGGTGCGCAGGCGCTGCATGCGCTCGTCCTGCTCGCGCGTCACCGCCTGCAGCATCTCCTGCTTGCGGTGCTCCAGCACGGCGTACAGCCCGTCAAACTGCTCGCACAGCATCTGCTTCTGGCGGCGGCTGTTCGCCTGCGAAAGAGGTGGGGGGGTGGCAGAGGGTGGCGGGGGGGGGGAGCGAGGCAAAAGGTCGAAGGAGAAGTTGCAGGAGATGGAAGAGTCAACACAGGGGTTCCAGAATGGCCATGTTGGAAGTGCTGAGTTCAGGTACTGGGTCTGCGTTTCTTGGTGGATTTGTAATGACATTGATTTGGCAGTGATGGGATTCTGGGTTGGAGTCCTGGGTCTGGGTGTCTCTCTTTGGCGTTCTCATGAGCTCAGAATGGCTCTGTCCGAGACACTGATGATGTTCTGGGTTTGAGTCCTCGGTCTGGGTGTATCTCTCGGTGGATTCATCATGACCGAGTCAGAGATACTGAACAGTTACCACTGAGATTCTAAGTTTGAATCTTGGCTCTGAGTGTGATCTAATTTTCTTGTAGACACTAAGTGACAATGCTTTGTCACCTACTTTGGATATTTTCTTGCTCTGAGAATTAAAAAATATCGGCGAGATGTTATCTGCCTTGCCTGGTATGCAGGAGGTCGTCAGTTGATCCCGACCCTGACGCCTGTATAATTGAAGTTTGCATATTCTCCCCGTTGTCACGTGGTTTTTTTCTCTCCAGATCCTCCGGTTTTTTGCTCCATATTTAGAAACATGCGTTTAGATTATTTGGCTGCTATAAATTTCCACATGATAAGCCACTTCTTTGAGCTATCATTTGTGGCCAGGTCGCCTCTGAAAGAGAGCTAATAGTTCAGTGGGCTTTACCGAGTAAAATAAAAAATAGTTTTGTTTTGGTTTCCCTGTGGCTAGGGCATGACTTGAAGGGATCTCAATGGAATCTCTGATATCTCATTTCACGGAACATTAGCGCATGGGGCAAGGTGCTGCTGACTGCAAAAACCTCCAAACGAATAAAAAAAAATTTCACGATGCGAAGCCAAGCAGAGCTGAGCTTTCGAACGAAAAAATTCGAAGATTACAAAAGAAAAGACAAACGCGTTTCCGAGACGAGTCGGCAACGCCGAATAAAACGTGGACTGCGACCGCACCTCCAGCGCCTTGCAGGTCTCCTCCATCTGTCCGATGACCGCCTGCACGCGGTCGTTTCCGGCGACGAGCAGGGCGATCCCGTCGCTCAGGTCGCCCTGCGCGTGGCGTGTGCGACCGGCAGAAATGGGGTGGGTGTGAACGGGGGGGGGGGGGGAAGAGAGAGAGATTGATAGCACTCATTGACGCGATGGGATGTGCAAAGCTTTGTGAAAGCCACTGCTGGATGAGGGCCTCGCAATGTCGTGCAGCTGGAGGGAACTGTTGGACCACGCATGCAAGTATGTTGAACTTTTTTCGCGCCGTACCAAGCCAACAGTGCTAATCGGAGGTGGTCGGTGTGGGTTGCTGAATGGGGGAGTAGTGTGCCAGGAACGGGTTCGGATATCACTCACCACGGTGTTGGCCTTCAGTGGGAAAAACAAGTTCATAATGCACTGCGTTAAGCACTGCACCACCGCTCCACCCCCTGTGTGCCTATGTGTGTGTGTCTCTCTATTTGTCTCTGTGCGAGTCTCTCTCTGCTTGTGTGTCTCCCTGTGTGTCTCCCTGTCTATGTTTTGTCTCTCTCTTAAATTTAGCAATCTTTGGAAGAATGTAATCAACCAGGTGGGGTGTTGACTGTTTTGTTGGCCGACTCTCTGTGTTGTATTGCATTAAAGTTCCCAGTTTACTAAGTTTGTTTTCTCATTCATTTGTACCTGATGATGGTTGCTTGTGTTGCAATCGAAACGTCGTTTTCTATTATTATTTAATTTAATTTCTTTCTACGTGACTTTACCGAAAGAACCAAAGAGTGATTCCTGCAGTCACGAAAGCTTCGAATCTAGTTTGAAGGATAATGGTCTTTAATTACCCAGGGCAGCCTCACACTGAGCCTCAAGACACTTTGTCAGGAGGGTCCCTGTTACTTTTGTTTAGAACTGTCCTTCCCTAGCGCCTCCGATTAGCACGGTTGGCTACGTGCGGTGCGAAATAAGTTCAATATACATTGAGACACTTGGTCATTGCCACGAACGAGTGTTGGGCTTAGTGTGGGAGGAAACTGGATAACCCAGAATTCATTGATTGATCGTAAGGGGCGCGTTGTTGTGACCTGCGACACATTCACAATCAGCGCCCGCTGGCCCGCAACCCCGCCGCTCCCCCCCCTCTCCCGCACCAGCCAGTCCGGCACCCCTCTACCCCCAACCCACAGATGTAGATCACCTTCTGCTTCTTGTAGACGGTGCCCAGTGGCGCCACCTCGCATCCCGTGTGGGCCCCGAACACCTTGCACATGGAGCAGGTGGGCACGCCGCACGTGATGCAGTAGATGTTGATCCGCTCGTCCTCGTGCTCCTCGCACATCGGCTGGTCCGTCTTCTTCATGGGCCTGCCAAGTGCATGGGGGAAGGGGGAAGAGGGGGAGGAGGGGGAGATTGGGGTGAGGGCCAGGGCAATGGCGGTGAAGTGGCCAGGGTAGGTGACACATGCGCAAAGTGCACCCAAGGATGATGTGTTGTCATCCTCGGTGGCATATTTAGAAAGTGCAGCCAAAGAGAATGGCATCCGTGTGGGTGGCACGTAAACAAAGTGCAACCGCAAGGCAATGTCCCACCTGCCATGGATGATACATTCACAAAGTGTGCCCATTGCGAGTGTGTCATCTGCCTGGGTGGGCACATTTACAAAGTGTACCTAAGGCCGCCGTGCCAACATTGGGTGACACATTTACAAAGTGCATTGCGAAACAAGGTCATGTGCCTGGGTGGCACATTCAGAATGTGCACTCAAATACGCTTCCTCTGCCGATTGCTCGGGGCAGTTGAGGAGCATGCTCACAACAGGCAACAAGAGTTATTTTCTTCTAAATCAACAACGTAACTTGTATCTATAATTACAATTCTGAAAACCAGAAATAGCTTGAAAGAAAACAGAACATCAAACACCGTAGTTCCCATCGTTTGATGCGTACCAGTGGGGTGTGTCCAAGTTGTTTACGACTGGACTTTAAAACCTAATTAACTTAAATAAAATAAGACTCTAAAACAACAGTTTTGTGATTAGTTGTGGGGCTGTGGCCACGTTACAGCCGGGACGTAATCACGCGAAGCGGACAGAGTGCCGCTGCGAGCGATGTCACTGCAGTGCTATAATGGTGTGCGCGTTCGTCACTTTCAAGTCTGTTTTTTTTTATCTCAGTCGCAATGCTTCATGGGTCGTGTGCGAGGGAGGGATTTTTCGCCTTGTCCCTTAAGTGCTGGAGCGTGTTGTTACAAACAGCCCTCGCCGCAGTGCAGCCACACAATGAATGGATGTACGATCTGCATGATGAGGTTGTCCCACACTTGGTGGACTCCTGCTTGTAGATGTCGGTGTTGTTCTCCACGAGTCAATGAATGAATAAGGAATTGAGCAATTGAGCGTACGATCTGTGCAATGGACGAGTGAGTGAGTGAATGGACGATGTGCATGATGAGGTTGTCCCAAACTTGGTGGACTCCTGCTTGTAGATGTCGATGGTGTTCTCCACGAGTAAATGAATGAATAAGGCATTGAGCAATTGAGCGTACGATCTGTGCAATGGACGAGCGAGTGAGTGAATGGACGGTGTGCATGATGAGGTTGTCTCGCACTTAGTGGACTCCTGCTTGTAGATGTCGATGATGTTCTCCACGAGGAGGTTGCGCTGGAGCCCGTAGACCCCGTGTCGGTCCAGCACCACCTCGTGCCGGCACGACGGGCAGCGGAAGCGACCCCCGGAGCCCACGCCCGAGCTCCGAGACTGCCAGAACGGGTTCGACGCCTGTACGAGGTGTGGGGAGCGGTGGTGCAACGGTTAGCGCGCTGCGCTACGAACCCGGCGGCCTGAGTTCGAATCCCGCTCACGGCCACCAACATCCGCGACGATAATCTGTACCGGTCCTGGACCTCCCCTCGGTCGACTCAGCCTTAAATAAGTACCTGGTGCGGTGTGTAATCATCGCCACTGGGGAGACAAAGGTGGTCAAGCGTGGTGCTGGCGACCCACCCACCCCCTTGTGTACCGTACCGGCTTCCATAGGTGCACGCTAACAGCACTTGCCCCAACAGTCTGTTAAGGCTATACGGAGGACTTTTGTCTTTGTTTCGAGAGAGACGGGGAAAGAGCGGACGTAGAATCTAGAGCGACAGGGAAGAGACGTGCAGGTACCGGGAGAAAGAGACAGAGAGATCGAGGGAGACGGGGGATATTGGATGTGGAGAAACGAGGACGATAAGGAGAGACACGTGGAGCTTGAGGATATTGGAGACAGCGAGAGATAATGAGATAGCTCCAGACATTGGTTAAGGGATTTAGAAAGGGAGACAGGATATGGAACACAAGAAGACAGGGAGACACATGCGGTGACGTGGAGAGACAAGGAGAGACCTGGAGATATGAGATACAGCGAGACAGAGGAATTGAGGAAAGAAACATATTTAGACGAAGGGAGACGAGGGGGGCATGAGACAGAGACAGGGGACGGAGTGAAACGGGAGACATGAGACAAACGAGACGGGCAAGGTGATAAATAGTAAGACGTGCAGAGAAAAGTTTTGGAGAGAATACGAGGCAATTGTAGAGAGTGCAGTACAGCATGTAGGATGCTAACGTATCCGTGTGGGTATGTGATTGGGATCTCCTCTTGTGTCTGGAATTTTCTCCGGACGCTTCACTTTTACTTCCGCACAAAATAAAAAAAATGATTGGCCAAACATTGCAATGCAAGACCCTCGCGAAAAAATAAGTCCCGAGACTTGGTGAAGCTTTCCTGGATGAAACGAATTAATTATTAATAATAAAAAAGTGAGTGCAAGCATCTCTCTCTGCTCAATGGAGGGGTTGGACAGCGGCTCATCTCTGCTGGAGGCTTAGGGCCAGTGGTGGAAATTCCGCATTCTCGTTTGCCCACAAACGTGGTCGTGATTTTTATCCAACACGAGAAAATCCTGCATACCATAAAAAACAATTTTACGAAAAAAAAACCACACACACGGAAAGACAGACACGTGTACAAAACGAAGTCGGTCTTCGTGCGTGATGCGCAAAAAACATCAGCGGATAATCATAATGATGATAATCGTGAATATTTCTTCGTTATCTAATAGCGTCGATCACGCCAATTGCGTCTCAAAACGCCAAACGCTGCGAACCGCACTGCCACCCGTTTGGAGGAATTGATGAGAAGGATACAAATGTATTTGCCAGTAAACACTTAAGCTCCTGACAACAGCCAAAGTCCACATAACAATAATAATGACAAACGCAATCGTAAGTTTTGACTTTAAACAGCCTCAAATATTCAAGCAGCACCCAGAACACTGAACACCGCGAAACCCGAGTAGCCGAAGAGCTGCATTGTGGGTCCGCTTGCCTTGGGTCACCATCAATCTAGAGACGTGGGGACCGCTTGCCTTGGGTCACCAATCTAGAGACGTGGGGACCGCTTGCCTTGGGTCACCATCAAACTAGAGACGTGGGGACCGCTTGCCTTGGGTCACCATCAATCTAGAGACATGGGGACCGCTTGCCTTGGATCACCATCAATCTAGAGACGTGGAGACCGCTTGCCTTGGGTCACCATCAAACTAGAGACGTGGGAACCGCTTGCCTTGGGTCACCATCAAACTAGAGACGTGGGGACCGCGTGTCTTGGGTCACCATCAAACTAGAGACGTGGGGACCGCTTGCCTTGGGTCACCATAAATCTAGAGACGTGGGGACCGCTTGCCTTGGGTCACCATCAATCTAGAGACGTGGGGACCGCTTGCCTTGGGTCACCATCAATCTAGAGACGTGGGGACTGCTTGCCTTGGGTCACCATCAATCTAGAGACGTGGAGACCGCTTGCCTTGGGTCACCATCAAACTAGAGACGTGGGAACCGCTTGCCTTGGGTCACCATCAAACTAGAGACGTGGCGACCGCGTGCCTTGGGTCACCATCAAACTAGAGACGTGGGGACCGCTTGCCTTGGGTCACCATCAATCTAGAGACGTGGGGACCGCTTGCCTTGGGTCACCATCAATCTAGAGACGTGGGGACCGCTTGCCTTGGGTCACCATCAATCTAGAGACGTGGGGACCGCTTGCCTTGGGTCACCATCAATCTAGAGACGTGGGGACCGCATGCCTTGGGTCACCATCAATCTAGAGACGTGGGGACCGCTTGCCTTGGGTCACCATCAATCTAGAGATGTGGGGACCGCTTGCCTTGGGTCACCATCAATCTAGAGACGTGGGGACCGCTTCCCTTGGGTCACCATCAATCTAGAGACGTGGGGACCGCTTGCCTTGGGTCACCATCAATCTAGAGACGTGGGGACCGCTTGCCTTGGGTCACCATCAATCTAGAGACGTGGGGACCGCTTGCCTTGGGTCACCATCAAACTAGAGACGTGGGGACCGCTTGCCTTGGGGGACCATCAAACTAGAGACGTGGGGACCGCTTGCCTTGGGTCACCATCAAACTAGAGACGTGGGGACCGCGTGCCTTGGGTCACCATCAATCTAGAGACGTGGGGACCACGTGCCTTGGGTCACCATCAAACTAGAGACGTGAGGACGAATGACAGCAGCGGCAGCGGTGTGACAGAGAGAGAGTGAGGGACAGAGACGACTCTAACTCGTACGGAAACGCAGCACAGTACAGGACTCCAGCCTCACACCCATCTCTTAGCAACCACCAAACTCCAGGCTCACACACACCCATCTCTTAGCAACCACCAGGCTCACACACACCCATCTCTTAGCAACCACCTGGCTCACACACACCCATCTCTTAGCAACCACAAGGCTCACACACACCCATCTCTTAGCAATCACCAACCACCTGGCTCACACACAAACATCTCCTAGCAACCACCAAGCTCCAAGCTCACACACACCCATCTCTTAGCAACCACCAGGCTCACACACACCCATCTCTTAGCAACCACCAGGCTCACACACACCCATCTCTTAGCAACCATCTGGCTCACACACACCCATCTCTTAGCAACCATCTGGCTCACACACACCCATCTCTTAGCAACCAACAAACGCCAAGCTCACACACACCCATCTCTTAGCAACCACCAGGCTCACACACACCCATCTCTTAGCAACCAACAAACGCCAAGCTCACACACACCCATCTCTTAGCAACCACCAGGCTCACACACACCCATCTCTTAGCAACCATCTGGCTCACACACACCCATCTCTTAGCAATCACCAACCACCAGGCTCACACACACCCATCTCTTAGCAACCATCTGGCTCACACACACCCATCTCTTAGCAACCACCAGGCTCACACACACCCATCTCTTAGCAACCACCAGGCTCACACACACCCATCTCTTAGCAACCACCAGGCTCACACACACCCATCTCTTAGCAACCACCAAACTCCAGGCTCACACACACCCATCTCTTAGCAACCATCTGGCTCACACACACCCATCTCTTAGCAATCACCAACCACCAGGCTCACACACACCCATCTCTTAGCAACCACCTGGCTCACACACACCCATCTCTTAGCAATCACCAACCACCTTGCTCACACACACTCATCTCTTAGCAACCACAAGGCTCACACACACCCATCTCTTAGCAACCATCTGGCTCACACACACCCATCTCTTAGCAACCATCTGGCTCACACACACTCATCTCTTAGCAACCACCAAACTCCAGGCTCACACACACCCATCTCTTAGCAACCATCTGGCTCACACACACCCATCTCTTAGCAACCACCAAACTCCAGGCTCACACACACCCATCTCTTAGCAACCATCTGGCTCACACACACCCATCTCTTAGCAAACCCCTGGCTCACACACACCCATCTCTTAGCAACCATCTGGCTCACACACACCCATCTCTTAGCAACCATCTGGCTCACACACACCCATCTCTTAGCAACCACCTGGCTCACACACACCCATCTCTTAGCAACCACCAGGCTCACACACACCCATCTCTTAGCAACCACCAAACTCCAGGCTCACACACACCCATCTCTTAGCAACCATCTGGCTCACACACACCCATCTCTTAGCAATCACCAACCACCAGGCTCACACACACCCATCTCTTAGCAACCATCTGGCTCACATACACCCATCTCTTAGCAATCACCAACCACCAGGCTCACACACACCCATCTCTTAGCAACCACAAGGCTCACACACACCCATCTCTTAGCAATCACCAATCACCTGGCTCACACACACCCATCTCTTAGCAACCAACCACCAATCACCTGGCTCACACACACCCATCTCTTAGCAACCAACCACCAATCACCTGGCTCACACACACACCCATCTCTTAGCAACCAACCACCAATCACCTGGCTCACACACACCCATCTCTTATCAACCAACCACCAATCACCTGGCTCACACACACCCATCTCTTAGCAACCAACCACCAATCACCTGGCTCACACACACACCCATCTCTTAGCAACCAACCACCAATCACCTAGCTCACACACACACACACATCTCTTAGCAACCAACCACCAATCACCTGGCTCACACACACACCCATCTCTTAGCAACCAACGTCGACCTCTCCACTCTTCCAGAGTGGTTCATGAAGTCCATCAAAATATAAAAAACCTGTCGTGGAAAAAAACCGTACAGCATCTCTGAAGCCACTTTAACCGTGGCTAAACAAAGGGTGATGACATTAACATCGTCACGCCGCATGCTAATGCCCGACTCATTATGAGCGGTAGGGGCAGGGAGGGGAGGTGTAAAGGACGGGGGAGGGGGGGATCATTGGG